TTCCACTAGTGAGGTGTTTCCAAACGAGCGCGCGGGAAGAGAGCAGCGCGCGTCGGTCGCGCGTGTCTTATATATCCTCGGCTCCGATGATTACGCGATGTTCTAGAATCGTCTTCTTTCCCTCCCACCCCATCACCCCGATGTGTCGATAGGAGGGTACGAATGATATCGTTTTGGAAAGGAATAATGATTCAGCAAGTTCCTACCGTCATAAATAAAAAACGCGAATGGTTTTCCGCGCAACCACCTGACTATAAATTGGACTCCTATTGCTTAAAGATTAGTAAACAAGAACAACAGTCTTGTTTTACCATGTCGAAACGGTGAAAAACGCTAAACAGTCAATAACAGTCAAATAAAGGTTCATTTCCCGTCTAACAGTCATGAGATTAAGAGTGTGATTGGAGAGTTTTTATGTTCTTCTGCGGCGGGTGTTGCAGAACTTAGCTCGGACCGCATGGACAGTTTCCACGAGCTTTATATTCATATTGTCCACTGTATTGCAGTCTTCTCGACACTGAAAACGGCTTTGTAATTCGAGCTGAAAGTTTCCAGGACCCTGGATTAGCGCACGAGGGTAACGGAGCGTTGACTTCATTAGACGAAACCTAACCATTCGGTGATCGCTGCCTGCTTGCACCCTCGCAATTACTGAGACATCACTGAACAGTTGGTGTCTGGTTGTTATAATTAAGTCAATCAAATTTTTTGTCGAACCGTCGGGGCTTGACCAGGTTCACTTCCTGTGGGACCTTTCTGGAAGAAAGAGTTCATCATAAAGAGTCCCTCTTTCTCCACGAAGTCAGCCATCTGCTGGCCCCTTAGGTTCCGTTGCCCTGTTCAAATTGCCATAACTTCAGCTCACCACTTTCTCTTGTGCCTAGTTTTGCGTTGAAGTCTCCCATCAATACAGTATTGGGTTTTGGCGGAATGCATGGCTCTAGAGATATCCTCATACTTTTCTTTCACCTCCTCATCGCGATGTACTGAGGTTGGCGCATAGACCTGTACCTGTATGACCCTCAGCGATTACCGTTTGGTGATGATGAGTATCAGGTACGCGACCCTCGTCGACACACTCTCAATCTTTACAACGTTGACGAGAGACTTGTAGACGATAAATCCGACATCTGCTTGGGACAGATGGTCGCCTCTTCTGGTGATGGAACAAGTTGCCAGATTCGAGAATTACCGTGTCGTCGCCCTTTCTTCAGAGCTCGGATAATCCTATAATATACCAGCGCAACTAGTCTACCTCTTCTTCTTCATATGATTCTGTATAGGTTGATAAACAACCAACTCAGCAAATAAAAGACAAGAAATTGTCTCGTAGCTTAAAACAGTTTATTTCATTTTTACTTAACTAATCATTATTATTTTGTATTAAAAATACTTTAATGTGGGATCAGGGATCTTCATCTCGGAAATTCTTTAAACACAAAACAAGGATTTATTTTTTTATATCTACACAAAAGCCAAATCTGTCAGTTACATTTATTCCTCAGATTATCGGTCAGTTATTTGAAAATTGAAAATTCAGCCCTGTATCTAAGTAAATACCTACGGAATAAAGTAAATTAAGCAACAAATCCGATTATATAAAATTAAAAAAAAATCATATTAGTTAAAATTTCGATATCAGGTGTCAGGAGGACAGGAGTTATAAAAGGCGGCCATTTTATGCGCCAAATTTTTGTAGGTAGTCACGCTAATTATGTAGGTATGCCCAGACCATATACTTCTAAGTCAATGAGTTGGCTATACTACGTAGACAGTGAAACCTATAGACTAATGATTAATAATAATAATAATAATTATTGAATCCAAACACACTTTACATAGAAACAAAAAACTTATAAAATTACATTGACAAGACGTCATCTAACTTAATACTATATTATCTTTAGCAACTGTACTAGTTCACAGACCTGTGTTACAGCTGCTAAGCGCTCCCCATTTAAATATATACCAAACAGAAAAAAAAAACAAAAAAAAAAAAGGTTGGAAGAATCAGATATTCATGAGACGAGAGTAGCTAAAGTGAATAAAGATAGCCGACGCCCTAGATCCGTTGTAATAAAATTTGGTTCCCCAAGAATACGTGATTACTTTTTAGCTACTACACATAGATTTAACAAAACAGCTAAGAGTCAAAGTGAAAAGCTTAATAAATATAGTCATCTTGGCGTCGGCAGTGAGAAGCAGCCAGTTTTTGTCGTGGAGCATCTGTCACCCACCCAAAAGGAAATACATGCTGCAGCGAGATCTAAGGCAAAAGAACTCAACTACAAATTTGTCTGGATCAAGGGAGGAAGAATATTTATGCGTAAGACGGAAACATCCGAGTACAAATTAAGAAAGACCATCCAAGAACTGTCTGAACTAAAATAGTGTATAAAGGTGTTTTATTGTTTATCTAAATTATTTTGTTTATGTAACCAGTATGTAATTAAATCATTTGAAAATATATTATCAAAATGTAAGAGGCTTAAACACAAATGCGGTCGAGGTACGTCAACATATTATTAATAATAAATACGATGTTTATATATTCACAGAAACGTGGCTTAATAACAGTTGCTATGACACTGAAATCTTTGCCAGTGTCTATGCAGTGTACAGACGAGATCATGAAACCTCTCCTCTATCAGGGCCAAAAAAAGGCGGGGGCGTTCTTATTGCTGTATCCGAACGACTTCTGTCAAGGCGTATCGTAGAGTGGGAAACTGATTGTGAAGATATTTGGGTGTCGGTTACATCTAACTCTACCAAAAATCCAAATACAATACTACTATGCGCTGTGTATTTACCACCTCCAGTCACTAAAGATACTTTAGATATTTTTATAGATAAAGCAAATGGTATACTGGGTTCCCGAACTGATAGAGAAAGCATACTCATTGCCGGTGATTTCAATTTGAGTGGAATATCTTGTCTATGCAATAATAGAAACGACATCTTTAATCATATGTTACCATCAGGGTTCGGTAATAATGAGCTCTTACGTAAATTTGTTGATTTTATAAATCTCAATAACTTAAATCAATTTAACTATGTAACAAACATAAAAAATCGTATATTAGATTTGATACTTTGCAATAAAGAAGTCTTGAATATTTTCGAAACACAAGATCCAGTAAGAAATATTGACAAGTTTCATCCTCCTCTTGTAATTAAAATGAAAATCTTATTAGAAAGTAATAGAAAAGTACATCTTACCAAACGTAATTTTCATAAAGGTAACTATATAGCTATAAATACTTACCTGGAATCGGTTTCATGGGAGAATGAATTTAGTTCATGTAATAATGTTAATGAAATGGTAAAAAGATTTTATGAACTGCTAAACTATGCTCTTGAAAAGCATATTCCTATGACTAAAGCCGACCGTGGGCCTTATCCTGTGTGGTACTCATCCCATTTAATCAAACTTTTAAGACAAAAATATAGATATCATAAAAAATAAAAAAGTATAAAAATCCATTAGACCAAGTAGAATTTGAATATTTAAGACAAAACTGTAAAAAGCTAATAAAGGAGTGCTATAATAAATACAATAGAGACAGATATTAAAACCAACCCGAAACTATTTTGGACATATATCAAAAATCTACGAAAGAATTGCTCATTATATCCTAATACCATGACCTTTAAAGACGATAAATCATCAGATACAAAGCTAATAGTGGACATGTTTGCATCTCATTTTTCTTCAACATATGAAAGAGATCTTAATGATAACAATTTAAAAAATAATATTTACACTGGACTAATAGCTAATTCCTTTGATGTTGATTAAAACTACTTTTACGGATTTTATCGCGTTTATTTTTACTTTTATTTACTTTTATTTTTAATTCCCGACGTTTCGGGCGCTTTCCAGCACCCATGGTCACGGGGGGACTGAGATGACTGACGTCCCGATGTCATTATTAAACCCGGAGTACCTTCAGCTTTTTTAATTATTGTTTATGGTCCGATCTATGCAAAATGAACTGACTATGTCCTGAGGTCTTGCAGTGGTATGCTTGGGTTTAGTTTTAATTTTATTGATTATAGGATCCCAAGCAGGTGGTAGTGCCCAGCCTCCTTCTCTATTGAAATTAGGATGTTTTTTAATTTCAATAGCCTCACGTATCATCCTTGGTAGGAATCGGTGTTCTTTCGAGAGGATTTGTGGTCTATCAAATCTGGTGTAATGGTTGGGTCCGTCTAGGATATGATCACAAACTGCAGACTTCCCGGAACGTTGATGCTTCACATCAGCTATATGTTCTTTTACGCGGGTCCTAATTGATCTTTTTGTTTGTCCTATATAAGAGAGACCACATTCACAATCAAGCTTGTAGACTCCTGCATCTTGTAGAGAAATATGACACTTGACGGATGGTAGGAACTGACTAATCTTCTTCGGCGGCTTGTAGAATGTTCTAATAGAAGCTCGCTTCAAGATATAGCCAATCTTGTCTGTGACACCTCTGACATATGGTAGTACAGCAGGCACACGCTCGACTGTGGCCGGCTTCACTCGGTCACTGTGACGTAGGCGCGGGACCCGAAGCTTGTTGTCGTGCAGAACTTGCTTGACGTGCTGAAGCTCGGCGGCCAGGTGTTTGCTGTCACGGATCCCTCGTGCTCTCTGTAACAAAGATTTGCCCACGGTAGCTAACTGTGAAGGATGGTGGTGAAATTCACCGTTTAAATATCGGTTTGTATAGGTCCTTTTCCTATACACAGTGTGACCAATGGTGTTATTAGGATTTCGGATGACTAACACATCTAGGAAAGGTAAGGAATTATTTGCCTCTAACTCCATATTAAATTGAATTTTAGAGTTTATGGAATTATGATGTTCTAAAAATGCAGTTACTTTGTCTGATGGTAAAATTGTGAAATTGTGAAATTGTGATGGTAAAAGATTATTATTAAAAAGATTATTATACTATTTGGAAGCCAGCCAGGACCTTTGCGAGACGGACTTAATTCTTTTTGGTGCCGCAATGGCAATCTACCGTATTATAGGCGCCAAACTTTCCACGGCTGGACGCGCTACTGGACAAAGTAGTGCTATCCCAGCCTGGAGAATAAGAATTGAAGAACGTATCGCAAAGGCTAGGGCCCTCATCGGCAGACTGATATGCTTCAGGTCAGGCAATACCAGGCCAAGGATTGTGCGCACCGTCAGGATGGCGTTTGCTGGGACAAATGTTAGTTTGTCCCAGCCGGATATAATGCAAAAACTGACGGAGCGCATAGACGACCTGAAGCAAAGAATCGCTGCTTGGGGAAAGCGGATTCGGTGATATACCGAGAGGTCGACACGGTTCAATCATAATCGTCTCTTCCAGAGTGATCAGAAGAGGCTCTATAAATCATTGGAGCGACCAATAGTAAGTAGAACGGGCCCAGCAACAAATCAGGCCGACACGGTCGCATTCTGGCGCAGCCTGTGGTCAAAGCCCGTAAACCACAACGAGGGCCCTTGGACGGAAGTTGTGGCGAGGCAGTGTGCGGGTATTACGCCCATGGACCCCGTCATCATAACGCCGGATGACGTAGCTGAGGCGGTCCGTAGGGCCCCGAACTGGAAAAGTCCGGGGCTTGACGGGTTGCATCACTACTGGCTGAAGGGGTTCATGGTGTATCACACTATGCTCGCCCGACAGTTTCAAGAGGCTCTCAACCAGAAGTCGCTCCCAAGCCTCTTCACTACTGGGATCACTCATTTGGTTCCTAAAGATCAGGATGCCACAGACCCAAGCAAATACCGCCCCATCACGTGTCTACCGACCATATACAAGACACTAACATCCATTTTGAGCGCGAGAATCACTCGTCACCTGGACTAATCAGGTGATGTCGCGCGCTCAAAATGGATGTCGGGGCGGCGGTCGTGGAACCAAGGAACCACTCCTCATTGACGCGGTCATTGGCAAAGTGGTGAATCGCAACCGTCGGAACTTCTCCGCCGCCTGGATAGATTACAGAAAGGCATTTGACTCACATATCGTTATAATATTGCTAATTTTTTTTATTACGATAAGGTCCCAAGAAGTTTATTTGTCTTTGAACATAGAATGTGTAAAATTTATCTGGTAGGTAGTATAATTTGATCTTTCATTCTTAATTTTTGAAATAAATTTAAGTCACAGTTATTTTACTTATGTGTTTTAAGTACAGATTTTAAAATAAATAGCTGTCGGACTATCAGCACATTTACTTCAGAGGACAAATTACTTGTGGGAAATTTAAAAGGTTTAGAAATCATAACTTTTGGCACAGCTCTTTGAGATCTTTCAATGCGCAAAATATAAGTTTTGTAAGTGCCTCCCCAAGCAGTAGTACAGTATGAAAATAGAGAATGGCAGAGAGCATTATATATAATTTTTTTTGAGTAGTTCAATTGGAATATGTTTTAAACGTTTAAAAACTGGTATAATTTATTTGGTATAATTTACTTCTAATGGTACTTTTTAATTTGTTAACATGCTCTTGCCGATTTAGAAGGTAATCAACATTTACATCTAAATATTTAACAGATTCAATTCTCTCTATGGTCTGACAGTTACATAAAAGTGAGGAAGAGTTATCACACATATGTGCTTTCAGAGAATAATAGTCAATTTCATGTTGACCTGTCGAAGATTTCATAAAAGTAAGGTACTTCGTCTTATCAATGTTCAATGTTAGCAAATTCATTCTCAGCCAAGACACAACCTCATCGAGACCGATGATTAGCGGGGCCTCGAGTGAGAAAAGATGATAACGTAGTTTTAGGTTATACATTAAAAATTTTAATTGTTTAAGAACTGAACTGAACAAGATTCACCAATACCTACAAAACACTTTTTTTCTTACTTAAACCAACTTGTAAACTCCTCAGATCGCTATGAACTGTCAAACTACAGTTTGCTAAACAAAAAAACTGCATGGAGAAAAGGACAAACAATCACAACACTCTGTCTCATTTCTATGCAAGACGTATGCATAAATCTATCTTTTTCGTGTGCGAATGCGAAAGAAGGCGTCAATTTGTCTATAGGCTTCTCTGTCTTGGCTATACTACTACCGACTACATACTCTATGGCCTAGTATTACTCAAAGAGTATCTTTTTATAAACAAAAGCAAAAAGTATTACTTTCCTCTATGGAGTATTTTGTCTACTGCTTACGTCAAAGTGTTCTAAACTGCTTTATTTACAAAACATTGTTTCACATACATACTTAAAAAGAATTTATTAAATGATGGAGAAATAATTACTCATTGGGGTTGGTTTTCGCACTTAAAGGCACTTAATTTATTATTAACAGTTTTGTGCATTACTCAAAGTATAACCTCAAAAATTTTTCAATTATTTAGTCTGAAGATTCAGTTGTTACCATGGCTCTACAGCTTTCTAGACGCGAAGTGGAAGACTTGCGGTCGTCACTTGACCGCGCTATTTACAGGACAATCGGTAAATCCGACAGTTCACTCTTGTCAACAGTTTCGTCGTGTTTAACGAATGGGTAAGAAACTAGGATCTTCTACTAACTATTAATATAACTTCCAGTCATATTACGGTGATGATGTTGAAATCGGGAAGACGTCCGAAGGGTACACTGCGCACAGAAATGTATTTAGCAATGTAGCGATTGCCTCATATAGCTTGATTTTAGTTATAAAATTAGTTAAATTACCAATCACATTACATATCTATTTAATTTTAGTATCAGACTACAAGAACTTGTTTAGTTGCTATGTTTTTTATGTTCATGTTTTTTTTTTTTACTAAAAAGACTTGCGTAAAGAAGAGTTTTTTATGGGTGTCAATGGGCTTTGTTAGCCACTTACTATCTGTGGACTCTAAGCTTGGTTGGTACCTTAATTTTATTTAAATAAAATATGTGTGGCACTTGGGGACTGCCACGGTAAAGCTATTGCATAGCATTTTTTGCAATTATAATTATTTATTTAGTTTATTTATATAGTTTTTTTTATGTTTTTTTCTTTGATATTAATTTAAGTTTTTTTCTTTGATATTAATTCAAGTTATACTTTTTGAGTGTGGTGACCGATATACGTCTAGTTGCACGCACACAAATACCATGCCGAAGTCTGCCGAACTGAAACGGCGTTAGCAGATGCACGGCTTTCAACGCCGCACTGCTGTGCCGGTTAGAGTGTTAGGTTTATTTTCGTTACGGAATTTCTCGATTCGGTTGCCGCGCTCAAAGCTATGCAATAGCTTAAAATTGTTTTGTTACTCTTCTTTAACTCTTTCTTCTTATGCTTATTGGTGGTTTTTGTCATTTGCCCATGTCAGCGGGAAAGTGTTTATTACGTACAAAAGAAGATAGTGGTAATACAAGTACCAATATTACCTATTCTTTATTTTATCGTTTTAACAATTTTTTCTCTATACTTTTTAATACTGAAACTAGCAAATTTAAATAATATGATGAAATAATGGTGTCAACTATCCTATTGCTTTAACAGATGTCACATATTTAGACAGAATTTTTCTTTTTTAATTAACCATAAAAGTACACCACTGGGCTTCTTCCGTAGTATGTGGAATTTCCCTTAATGTAATAGAATAGCCGCCGTGTAGTGGCGGTTGAGAATATCCACTACCCCATATCTTCCCGTGGGTGTCGTAAGAGGCGACAGAGGGAGACAGGCAGGAGATGGGCAGCAGCATCATCCTGATAACAGCTGTGTTATAATAAAAAACTGCAGTTGCCAACCCGCTTGCCAAGCGTGGCAACCATGGCAAATATCCCCCCATGAATAACGACGCAAAAAAATGGCCCCCAGACCCCGGCGGCCCCGCTATTCCTGGCTACGGTGGCGACCATGGTAACGGCGGGGCAGGGGGTGCTAAGAATCTCCGGTGGAGGTTCAGTTGCCACCTACGACGACTCGTCCCGGCAACATATAACGCACGCACCCTGAGGACTGACGAGAAGATACTGGAGCTGGAAGAAGAGGTAGACAAGTTGCGCTGGCATATTATTGGATTATCCGAGGTCCGAAGAGAGGGGGAGGATACGGCAATCCTCGAGTCCGGCAACTTGTTCTACCACCGGGAGGGTGACCATCTGTCCCAAGGAGGTGTCAGATTTATCGTCCACAAGTCTCTCGTCAACAACGTTGTAAAGATTGGGAGTGTGTCGACGAGGGTCGCATACCTGATACTCAGAATCACCAAACGGTATTCGCTGAAGGTCATACAGGTTTACGCACCAACCTCGGCACATCCCGATGAGGAGGTGGAGGAAATGTATGAGGATATTTCCAGAGCCATGCATTCCTTCAAAACCCACTACACCGTGTTGATGGGAGACTTCAACGCAAAACTAGGCAAAAGAGAAAGCGGTGAGCTGAAGTTGGGGAAATTTGGAGTAGGGCAACGGAACCGTAGGGGCCAGCAGCTGGCCGACTTTATGGAGAAAGAAGGACTCTTTATGATGAACTCTTTCTTCCAGAAGCGGCCCCACAGGAAGTGATTGACTTCATTATGACGACCAGACGCCAACTGTTCAGTGATGTCTCAGTGATCGCAAGGGTGAAAACTGGCAGCGATCACCGAATGGTTAGAGGCACACTGAACCTAAACGTTAAGTTGGAGAGGTCTCGTCTAATGAAGTCAATGCTCCGTCCCCCTCGTGCTCTAATCCAGAATCCCGAAACCTTTCAGCTCGAGTTACAAAACCGCTTTCAGTGCCTAGAGGATTGCAATGCAGTGGACGATATGAATGACAAGCTCGTTTAAACTGTCCATGCGGTTGGAGCTAAGTTCTGCAAGACCCGCCGCAGAAGAACACAAAAACTCTCCGATCACACTCTTAATCTCATGGCTGTTAGACGGGAGATGAGGCTGCAATCGTCAACAGATTTGACAGCATACAGGCAACTGAACAGACAGATCTCCAAATGCATGCGGCGAGACTTACGCAACTTTAATACTGCTCGTATTAAAGAAGCGATCGAGCGGAACCAGGGCTCCAAAGTCTTTGCCAGAGATCTGTCTGCCAGAAAGAGCCAACTGTCAAGGCTGAAGACTGAGTGTGGCAACATCATTTCCGGGACACCTGAGATTCTGAGTGAGATTGAGAGGTTCTATGGGCAGCTGTACACATCATCGTTGGAGCCACACGCAAGTGTGAGTAACGATCCAAAGAGCAAGTCTTATCTGACACTATTCCGATGATACCCTGGACGTCAGTCTGAGCGAGATTAGAATGGCTCTCCACCACCTTAAAAATGGCAAGGCCCCGGGCGAGGATGGAATTACAACGGAGCTTCTGAAAGCGGGTGGAACACCGGTACTTGAAGTCCTTCAGAAGCTCTTCAATTCCGTCCTCCATGGTGGCACTACTCCGAAGGCATGGAGCAGAAGTGCGGTGGTCTTGTTCTTTAAGGAAGGCGACAACGCTCTCTTGAAGAACTACAGACCGATTTCCCTTCTGAGCCGCGTCTACGTGCTGTTTTCGAGAGTCATTACGAATCGTCTCGCACGCAGACTCGACGACTTCCAGCCTCCCGAACAAGCCGGTTTCCGAAAAGGCTTCAGTACCATAGACCACATACATACCCTTCGGCAAATTGTACAGAAGTCCGAAGAGTACAATCTGCCACTTTGCCTGGCGTATGTGGACTATGAGAAAGCCTTTGATTCCGTCGAAATTTGGGCGGTGCTACAGTCTCTTCAGCGGTGCCTAGTTGACTGTGCCGGTATATTGAAGTGCTGAAGTATTTGTACAGTGGGGCTACGATGGCTATCCGAGTACAGAACGAGAGTACGAAACCTATCCAACTGCAGAGAGGTGTAAGACAGGTGACGTTATATCCCCGAAACTCTTCACCGCTGCATTGGAAGACGTTTTCAAGCTACTGGACTGGAAAGGATACGGTATTAACATCAATGGCGAGTACATCACTCACCTTCGATTTGCCGACGATATAGTCCTTATGGCAGAATCGCTGGAGGACCTTAGCACTATGCTCAATGACCTCAATGGTGTCTCCCCCCAATGGATAGGTCTTAAGATGAACATGGACAAAACAAAGATCATGTTTAATGTCCATGTCACACCTATGCCGGTAGTTGTTGGGAGCACCATGCGTGCTCGAAGTTGTTGATGAGTACGTTTACCTGGGACAAATAGTCCGACTAGGTAAGTCCAACTTCGACCGAGAGGTCAATCGACGGATTCAACTCGGCTGGGCAGCGTTCGGGAAATTACGACACATCTTCTCGTCAGGTATACCTCAATCTCTGAAAACTAAAGTGTATAACCAGTGCGTGTTGCCAGTGATGACTTACGGATCTGAGACGTGGTCCTTCACCGCTGGCCGTATGAAGACGCTCAAGGTTGCTCAGCGAGCTATGGAGAGGGCTATGCTCGGAGTTTCAATGCGTGATAGACTCAGGAAATGAGGATATCCGCAGTAAAACCGGAGTGACTGACATAGCCCAACAGATTAGTAAGCTGAAGTGGCAATGGGCCGACCATATAGCTCGAAGAACCGATAACCGATGGGGAAGAAAGGTTCTCGAGTGGCAGCCTCGTACCAGTAGGAGTAGTGTAGGGCGACCCCCCACTAGATGGAGTGACGACCTGGTAAGACATGCAGGAAGTCGATGGATGCAGGTGGCTCAGGAACCGTGCTTTGTGGCATTACTTGGGGGAGGCCTATGTTCAGCAGTGGACTTGTGAAGGGCTGTAATGATGATGATGATGAATAGAATAGAATTTTTAATCAAAATAGATTACAAGAATACTGAAAGAGATTTATTTTTACTACTCTAAGCCAGCACATGACTCATATTTATGCTTTTATCAGTGGTTGAAAAAAACCTCTGCTCTGGGAAGAAAGAAAAAGATAGAAATCCAGCAAGAATTTTATTAAACTTTAATTTATATTATAATATGTTGTAAATATGAACACATTTTAAAAAAAAAAAGAATGGCAGTGATCACGGCATTATTGTGATTTCCTTAGTAGTATATATACAATGTTACAATTTTAGTTATACGTAAATAATAGTATGTAATTTTGGCATACTTGGCTTGGATACTCTGATTTATGATTGATGTACCAGGCTTGAGCTCGAAAAACTTATTTTTAATACTTTTACTCACAAGCTTTTCTTGGTAATTATGATGAAACTAGAATTTTAATGGTAACAGATGTAGTTGTTAAAGAAATTGATAAACCACCATTTATTGCAAGCCTTAACAAAACATTTCTGTTACAATTTTTTTTAGTTTATATGAGGTGAATGTAAAAGCACTATATATTACAAACTATTCATTTAGCAAGTTAGGACTACTTATAATGATAAAACTTTAAACAGATCATATATAGTTTTTGGCTGTGAAAAGAAAAGGGGAGATCTGTTGCTTGTTGTTTAATCACTTACCAACAGATGAGCAGTTTGCTCATTTGCCTTTTTTTTCTCTCCTGTAAATAAAAAAAACCGGGGATGAGTTCAGCCCAGGGAACGGCCATCCTTCTGTCCATGTGTTATTTAGGAGCTGTTCTATGTATAGCGCAGTATTTTTGGAACTTTGACAGCGGGATTTAGGCTTCGGTGCATTTCAGGCCGATAGTGCAGTTCTGTTACCAGTGTGTCCTTTATGCCGGTGGTATTGTATACTTTGTGTGTTAGGATGTAGTCGTGCCACAAGTTAAACTGATTATTTGTTTATATTGTGTTTCACAAGTTAAAAAAGGGGCTTTGATGCACTTTATTTATTGCAAAATGGCTGGTAAAAGAAAAGGAAGCATTTTTAAACATATAAACCCGGCATCTGACTATAACTATGACACCCATGTGATGAAAGTGGTGATGGACTCCCTTGCGCTGCAACATGACACATATTTGTACTGCATTAATGAACTGATAAAATTACTTGTTTTTCAGGTATGAACGTCGAAAGATCATAGATAAGATCTCATCACATATAGACTCAAAGAAGGCAAGCAAATTAGCAGATAAGGTGCTGGCGCTAGCACAAGAACTGATATCCAGCTCCAAGACACAGAAAAGGAAACACGAGTCTAGTGATAAAGATAGAGATACAAAGAGGTACTTAATATTATGTTTTAATCTCAAAAGCTTATCTTTAACATGGGGCTCCCATACCGATTTACTTATAATGGGATATTTGCTATATTTGCCACACTTGACTGGCGGGTCGAAAACTTATTATGGAGATATTTAGTGTGCAAAATCTTTCTGGTGTATTCCATTGTAATCTCTTATGCAATCAACACGTCTAGGGGTCCTAACTTTTAATTGTATTGCATTCATTAATTTCAGCTCTTCACTAGTCCACTATTTAATAAATGTCTCTCCTAAGGAACTATGGGGAGAAATTCTGTCCATGGTTGCAAGTGCTTTGGCAACCACTATTGTATGTTTATGTCGCAGGGGAAGCAGGGATGTTCTACTGCCCATCTACTGGCTTCTAGAATTTACTTTAAAGACAAGTAAGGGCATGTACTGAGCAAATTCCTCTTACTTATAGTAATGTATTACAGATCACGACATGAAGACAGAGAGCCAAGAGAAGAGAAACGCGAATCGAGAAGTGAGAGGGACAGGGAGGAGAAAGAAAAGAAATTTGGCAATGGTATGGACGTGCCATCTATATTACCTGAAGGTGAAACTGTTGGTTCTAAGATGGCGGGGCTCAGTGCTGACAAAATTAAGGTAAGCCTGACTTCGATCAAGGAGACAGTTATCATATAGCTACAAATTGTATGCATGACTGAATTCCTACTTCTCTAATCCATCATCTGACCACCAGATGCTTGGTTTGCTTTTCATCATTCATTATGCTTACAGCAAAGGAGTGAAATAATTTGCCAGCAGACACTGGCCAATTATTGCATCTGTTCCCCATTCAAAAGTCCGTGTCCCTTCCATATATTGCCTCCTAGGGGAATATTTGCCATCGTTGCTACCCACACCAGGCAGGTTGCCAAAAGCAGTATTGTAATAATTTTGATTTGTCGCTGTTTATGTGAAGCGTCTGCTGGTCATCTCCTGGTTAATTTGATTATTTTTGTTCGTTTTTTATTTCCTTCTTTCATTTCCAACAACATCCTATTCAATGATGATAGGTAATTATATAATAGTTTTCATCGCCACTGTATTGTGTAATACTCATAGTTGCTCCTTAGTAACTAATTAAATTGCTTCATCATCATCATTCATCATTATGTCCCTTCACAAATTCACTGCTGAAAACGGGTCTCCACTGAAAAGCCACAAAACATGTTCCTGAGCCATGTCTTACCAGGTCATCACTACACACATTACCATACACATCGCCTACCAATACGGGACTGCCACTCGAGAACCTTTCTTTGAACTATATGACTGGCCCATTGACACTTCAGCTTATTAATCTGTTGGGTTTTTAGTTTAGTTTAGTTTAGTTTACGACGGGCTGTTTTCCGCAACTCCACGTCTAAGCGCGTATTTTGCATGTGGGCAGGAATAATATGCTTATTCGAGCCATGATATCTCCCCGAAGAAGCTCAGCAGTCCCTTGATGTTGCAAGCAACTTCGGGGAGCGATCCCGGCGTGCCGAGATGTTTAGCCCTGTATGAAGCGACTTCTGGACATGTCAGCAACACGTGAGCCGCCGTTTCTGCCTCTCCCATGCATGCCCTGCACAGGGGGCTGTCAGTAACACCTATGGTGAACAAATGTTTGTTAAAAGAGCCATGCCCTGTGATAGCACTTGTTACTATCCTGATCTGTGGCTTGTTCATTCTCATTAGAACCTTGGTCAGACGACTGTTTATGTTAGGTAGGGCCTCCCTAGCTTTTCTACAGTCTACTAAATTTTTCCAAAGCTGAGCGTGTAAATTATTGAAGTATCTACGTACCAGTGAACGAACATAGCCAAAGGGGATTGGTATTATTGGTTCCGGCCCTATAATCTGTTGGGTTATTTTGATTACTCTTTTTCTACTGTGAATATCCTCATTTCTGAGTATCAAGCAAAGAAACTTCGAGCAAAGCCCTCTCCTTAGCTTGTTGAGCGGCCTTCAGCTTCCTCATACAGACAGCTTTGAAGTGAACTTCTGCTCCTTCACTGCTGGCCGTATTAAGTTGCATATAAAAGGTTTTTTTTGGAATTCTCTTCTCGTTCTTCTCTTACGCCCTCAGTACTCTGCTGTTTCTATATTTATGCTTAATGAGATCTAATCATTTTAAGATCACCAGATATTGCTAGTTATGAGTCATGTGAAGTTGTTACACAATATCAATATAATTGAGAAATTACGTATTAAATGAAAGTTTTTCTGTTTCTAGAGTGTGAAAATGCTTTAAGTTTTTGCACTGACATACCTCTCTCGCCTCCTTTACATACATTTATCTACGCATAGACATTCTTCGGTTAAGGGTACTACTAATGTGGCCAATTGTCAAAATATCGCCAATTTGGTCAATGAACCTTCTTCTAGGGCGTTCCTTCCTGACTCTGCCGTTCACATCTGCAATATAAATTTGCTTTGTCACTCGTCCCTCGTTTATTCATCTCATTCAAAAATTTTTTAAATTTTTCACTATTAGTAGTATCTATAGCTTGGTTTATGCATTTATAATATAATTAATATGAATATAACTAATATTTTATAAAGAAAAATTTTATGGTAACATTTTCCTAACAAATTAACTTAAACCCGGCCATTAAATTTGCCAAAAAATTTCACCACCACCACCAAGTAGCGCCACCCTGGTGGCAGATAAAAATCAATTGGAATCATTGGTTTTAATTGTCACAACCCTTTTTGTTTCAGTTAATGATGGCCAATGCTCAAAAAGAGATAGAAGAACGCAAGAGAGCGCTAATAGCGATGAAGGGCGAGCAGAGGCCCAGCGTGAACGTGGCCGCGGCTGCCGCGCAGCAACTGAAGGTTCAGATGCAGCAGAACAATGCCATACCTCCCCCGAGTGTTATCAAACCTGTTCTCTATTCGAAGCCATGTAAGTGTTTTCTTCTTTCTTACCTGACCATCCTTAAAGGAGGTTATGTTTCTTAGGTTTGTATTTAGATATATACAGGCTTATTTTGCAATGAATGCCCAAATTTACAGAGGAGATTCAAAATAAGTAATATAAGCGAACAGTGAAAAAATATTGTAAAAAGGTCTCAAACATTCTGTCCTTTTTATTTTTTAAATTCAGAATGGTAAGCGGAGTGTGGTAATGCCTTATTTTAACTGATTGTCATACATAAATATCTAACGCCTGCTTCCTTAAGTCCGCAATAAAAATATTATTGAGTCACTTATCATGATAAAAACTATCCTATTCTCTCAAGTTAAGTATCTCAAAGTATTGAATAAAACTATATTTACGGATTTTATCGCTTATTTATTAACACACTTAATTATTAACTATTTTAACTTATTTGTAATTCTCGACGTTTCGGGTGCTTTACAGGACCCACGTTCACGGGGACTGAGATGTTTGACGTCCCAATGTCATAGTTAGCCTGGCTACCTTCAGTTTTCGATTATTAATTTTAATTTTTAATTTTAAATAAGCAAGCAATACACAATAAATCAGTTGAGCAGTTTCTGAGATAAGCGTGAGCGAACATTGTGACACGGGCTTTTTATATATTTCTAGCTGGTACCAGGCGCATTGATGCCGAAGACGAAACAATTGTGGAAATATAGTTTTAAATTTGAAAGAGTTATATTGTTTAAGTAGGAATGATAATAATACATACATTGAAGTTGAATGATATACAACTTTCAAATAAATTTGTTGGTACAAAATGCTCGCCACCTACTATAAGTTAATTGTACTATGACTATAATCTTCGGGCAAGTGCAAGCAATGAGTTGACAAAGTTTTACTGCTATCTGATAAATGGTATAGTAGCACATAATATACGAACAAACAAACATTAATTTTTATATATTAGAAGATATAACATCTGATGTTTGTCCTGTTTATATCAAACACGCATACAAAAAAAGGGAAAAAAACGTACGCGAATTCAGAACTTCGTCGGACTAATCAAGAATCCACTTATCACATCTTTTTGTGTAAATTAAGTGTGACCCGCTCGCATACCTTTAATTTTGTAAATGGTCCTATAGGAAATCGAGTTTGGCAACCCTGGATGTAAGGTATACAAATTGTTAGGGTTACGTAGTTAAACAACAAGGAACCCTTATAGTTTTTACTCAAAGACCCTAGGTGCTACAAATCTGTAATTTAGCATAGTTAAAGATTTTAATCACGCCTACAAAACTGTGAAATAAAATCTTGAAAAACATTTTTATTTTGGGTACCTCACATAAATCGCTATTTTTGGAAATGTGAAAAGTATACATAATATTGTAAACTGTAGGAAATAAACATTTTATGAAGAAAACGACTTATATGCTTACTACTATAGGTTTACTTTTTCCTTTGTGAGATATGCAGGGAGGATGTTTTAAAATTTGGCTACTCTTTGAAAAATAACCCTGTATATTTGACGGACTTATTTTGGTATTGAATAATAAGTCCTTCAGTTACCATCGTCCTATTTGGGCCCATTTTTTGTCGTTATAGCGATCAAACCGCGAACTCACTTTATATTTTCATATATTGCGACAGGCAACTACGGAATCCTACCTCTACATTGTGCGTGGCCCGACTCGCACTTGACTAGTTTTATAGAATAAGGGTGACAAACGAGCACACAGTACACCTGATGGTAAGTGGATGCTGTGGCCCGTACACTTCTACATCTATCCTTAATTAAAAATCAAAATGCAGATGCGTTGTCATCCCTGAGGACTAAGGTGGAATGCCAGTTTCAGTGAAAAGGGTGTCCAGTTCTCTACACTCATCATACGAAACACAGCAGCATTAAGCTGCTATTGTACGCTGGTATTTTGTCAGAGTATGGTCCTTTGAGCCGATTCATTCGACATATAATCATAATATAACTGCAGCGTGGCTCTTTCACAAAAAAAAACTTTTGTTGGAATGAATATTCAACATAAGACATATGACGAAACTGAGAGGCTTCTGGATCGTGTTACATGATTTGTTCAGATTCAGACTCTCTAATCATACACACACTCATTTAAACTCACGCAAGCACACACACACACACGCGCGCACGCACGCACGCACGCACGCACGCACGCACGCACCACGCACACACGCACACATACACACATGTATACATAAGGGCAGACCCACCAAACACAGGCATTTTTTGCTTAAATGGAGGTTTCAATCTACTAATTCTTAAGGCATGTACTTTTTTAAACGAAATAAAATTTATTTCTTATTATTATTCACATATAATATAATTAACAAAGGATTAAAGAAATAAAGTTTATTATGTCTTCGGTTACAGCTGCAGCGCAGCTGACACACGAGGAGTTGGAGAAGCAGAGGAAGATCGCGGAGCTTCAAGCCAGAATACAGAGGAAATTGGCGGGTATGTACATTTATTGCTTTTTATAAAAACACATAGAATGTAAGGCTAGTGAGACCAGATACATAATACGAACAAAATTGGAGAGGTGCTAAACGTTTTGTTAAGGGTTTCTTTTTTATTACTGAGTCAAAGAAAAAGTTGGTAATTTTTTGATTATTTTTTTATAAAGATAAACAAACAGTGCCTAACTTATATAAATAATAGGCTGTGACACCCTATTTCACCTGCTCAGGGGTTTGCATTTTCCAAAACACTTTCTTAGTGGGTGTCTATGTTGAGAAAGAAGTATATATGCGAAATTTCAAGTCAAGTATAGTATGGCAACAGGCAAACACCTGACAATCCATATTTAAACCCGCCTCCGCCAAGCGTGGCAAATATAGTAAGTATCTTCTCTATGGTAAAGTAAAAAATGACGTTCAATAAGAACTACATGTAATCTATACCGGCACAATGCCACCGATGCCAGGCTTTCGGACATGCCTCCGCAAACTGTTTCAGGCCAGTGAAATGCGTTCGCTGTGCTGGAGAACATATTGCCAGCCTTTGCCCAAGGGGTAGAGAGGAGGAGCCAAAGTGCGCAAATTGCGCCAAGAACCATACGGCCAACGATCGCCGCTGCCCGGTCCTGAGGAGGATTGCCAGGAAGCAGGGGATCGTCTTACCTGGGCTACTCCCGGAGAACCCTAAGAGGATCCCCCAGAGTCGCCCAAAGGCCGTCACCATACAGGAGGACGGGTGGGCAACCATCACCAGAGGGAAGGGTAGGCAACCAGCCCCCCCCCCACCCCCCCTGCAGCACCAATAGAAACGGTGGGTCCCACAGACCAAAGGGCAACCACCGGGGCGACTCTTCGATCTCCTGCCAATGACGCCACTGAGAGGCAACCCTCCCAGAGGAAGAGGCGGAGGAATAGGAGCAGGAGAACGGAACAGCCTCCTCCTCAGGCTGTGACTACCTCTACCCCCACAACCACAGGACCAATAGCCTCGCAGGCGCAGGTTGCTGTAAGAACACCAGCACCAACCACGACAGGTAGAGCGCCAGAAAGGGCTCTACCAGAAAGTAGAGCCCGCTCCACACACAGAGCGCGCTCTACCCAAAGGAAGACCTCAATCAATGCCCCGAGACCAGTGCCTTCACAGCGTAGTTCAGAACGCAGACCACCAGCGTCCGGCTTCGAGACGGCTGATGCCATCCACAGATTGGTAGGCATAGCCATCGAAGTCGGTACACAAGTCCTGGCCGACATAAGGGTCGGGATAGACCCCGTTACCGCCGTCATGAAGGCGCTGGCATCACTACTGGCAAGACACTACGGAGGATAGCAACCTGCGTCTGCTTTACTGGAACCCGGACGGGATTCGTCAAATGATCCACGAACTCCGCACTGTCACCCAGCAACAGGACATCCAGGTGATCTTGCTGGGTGAAACCAAGTTACGACCTACAACGCATCTTAAGCTTCCCAATTACACCGTATACAGGAGGGACGAGGTCGATCTTCAAGGGGTCGCTTATAGAGGGACAGCGATCCTGGTGAGGAGAGACATCGTCCACCAGGAGCTGGACCTGCCAGACTTCCAGACGATGCGTTCAATCGGCATAAAAATGGAGGCGGCGGGCGAGGAACTAAGGATCTTTGCAGCATACCGCCCGCCAGGGACTCCATTTCACTCCTCAGACATCCGGACGGTAATGGAAGGTACGGCACCCACCATCATCGCCGGGGACCTGAACGCCAAACACCCGGCGTGGGGGTCCAGAGTGATCACCCCGCCGGGTCGTGAACTCTATGAAGATGCTGAAAACCATGATTATGACGTTCTAGGTCCCGAGGAACCGACGCACATTCCTAGCGACCATAGGAAGCGTCCGGATGTATTAGACATCGTGCTCACTAGGAACGTCAACTACCCAGTAGTGGTAGAAGTGCTGTACGACATGAATACACAGCACCTCCCGATTCTGATAACCCTCGGCACTAAGGCAGTGACTTCACCGCCCAGAGCCGTCAAGACCAAGATCGACTGGAGGCTCTACCACCAACACCTGCAGGAGAGACCTCCAGTCCATACACCGATTAACTCAGCGGACGACGTAGAGGCCGCTGCAACTAGAATATCCACGTGCATCCAGGAGGCCCTCAACGCGGCCTCTACGATCGTCCCTCTCACGGGGAGAAAAGAGGAGCTGCCGCTAAGACTACGCGTGCAGCTCAACCATAAAAGAGCGCTGAGGAAGCTCTGGGCGCGTACTCGCTGCCCTAGAGTAAAAAGAAAACTTAACACCTTATCAGACGAACTGTCGGTTGCAATACAGGCCCACAGAGGAGAGGCCTGGGAGCGGCGCATATGGAAGGCTGACGAACAGCACGCGTCGCTCTACACATTGAACCGGCAGTTAACGAAAACTCGACCACCTGTTTGCCCGCTGACCAACAACGCGGGCATTCAACGTTACGATGCCAAGGGCAGAGCGGATATCCTAGCTGAGCACTTCGAGGAGCAGTTTATGCCGAACCCAGCAAGTGCGGAGTTCCTGGAAACCCATACACGGAAAGAGAGCCGCGTTCAGGAGCTCCTGTCGTCGCCCGCGCCACCGCTTGCAGGAGAGTGGTTTATCTCCCCCGCCGAACTGCGGAGGACAGTAACCCGCCTGCAACCGAGGAAGGCGCCGGGGCACGACGGGATTACCAACGCTGCACTACGACAGCTGCCCAATAGAGTCCTTGTAGAGATAGGTCGGCTCTACAACGGAATATTGCGGACATCCCACTTCCCGGAGGACTGGAAGAAAGGCAAAGTCATCGTCTTGCCGAAACCCGGGAAGGACAGGCGTAGAGCTGCCAACTACAGGCCGATCACGCTGCTACCGCATATAGCTAAACTGTGCGAAAGATTACTGTTGAGACGTCTCCGCCCGTGCATCCAACTTCGGGCGGAGCAACATGGATTCAGGAGGGGTCACTCTACAGCAACACAGCTGACCAGAGTGCTGCACCTGCTTGCGGCCGAACACAACCGTGGCCGCATATCGTTGGGCGTCTTTCTCGATATCGAGAAGGCGTTCGACCAGGTGTGGCACACAGGATTACTCTACAAGTTAGACGAACAAACAAGTATCCCTCCTGCTATATTGCGGCTAGTGGCGTCTTTCCTGGAAGGCAGGAAGTTTTACGTCTGCGTAGAGGACGCCGAGTCCGCAATTAAAACCATAACAGCTGGTGTGCCACAGGGCAGTAGTCTGTCTCCAGCCCTGTACGCGGCGTACACTAATGACATTCCTACCCTGGCAGGACACTTGCACGAATGGGAGGACGACGTCAAACTAGCGCTTTTTGCGGACGACAGCGCATACTTCACGTCGTCCAGAAGAGCCCACATCGCAGCTGCCAGGATGCAACGTCTGCTGGACCTGCTGCCACCATGGTTGGATGAGTGGAGGATGGCCGTCAATGTTAGCAAGACGACCGCTCTACTCACTCGCCGCTATAGGAACTTACCACCACCGCTAACCCTCGGAGGCCAGGAGATCGCATATGAGAAGGCCGTGACCTACCTTGGATGTCGGATTGACAAAATGTTGCGTATTACTGCGCACGTCGACTGCTATACGCAAAGCTCGATGTGCGCGGGCAATGCTCCGCCCTGTCCTGACATCCAAGTTACCGACAAAGTCGAAGTTAACCATTTATAAAACTTACATAAGACCCCTGCTAACATACGCTGCTCCGGCCTGGTATGCACTCCTGAGCGATCATCAGAAGCGGCGACTTCAGGCCCAGCAGAGTTTGTCATTACGAACTATATTCGGTGCGGGTCGCTACGTCCGTAATGACGGCATAGCGGCCAACCTAAAGATAGAGAGCCTGCAAGAATTCGTGGTCCGGCTGGCGCGCGGTATGTTTGACCGCGCCGACAACGGGCCACATGAACACCTCAACGGCTTCGCGCCGTTGCACTCACGGCCGCCGGACGGGCGACCCTATCCAAGAGAAGTCCTCCCTATATAGATTAGGGAGTTGAGTAAACCCCACAATGCCGCAGAAAGGCCAACTTTGACATAATAATTGTGTTAAACACAATTATTTAGACAACCACCCTATATTACAATTTAACCGACCGCGACAAAAGTCGCTAAATACAACGCCTTTACCATCAAGGCGCCCAGGACCGGCACACTGTAGTGTGCCGTGAGGAACATCCGGGTAAAGGGGTACACCCCGAGGCCCGAGACCTGCACGGCACTATGCCCTGCAGAGGACAACAACGACGTAATCTATATTGAGTAAAAATATGATTCTATTTTAGTCTATGAGTTAATTATACGAGAAGCCTATTTTCATTAGTAAACTTTTGCAATACCCAATCTTGATTTCTTTCGTTAAATTTTTAAAATAAATGGCCAGACCGAGGTGTTTCGAAACACTCGTAAGTTCGAAATGTCCAGATTTTGATAAAATTCCTATTAAATTCTTAAGAAAGAAATACGTTTATTTGGCACATATATAATAACAAAAAAAAAAGTAATAAAGAGCAGAAAATGCTTTTTATTTTAATAAAAGGTAACAAGGTTTTTTATATAGAAGTTTCATTTTGTTGTTCATGGTGACGACACACCTGCACTTGGACTCTTAATCGCGGATTAATTTAGATGTTTGACCATTGAAGCAAAAGCACCTCCCCTTTTGCTTCCCGCACCATGTTGTAATACAGAACTACTCTTTATATACTCAGACATGACAATTGAGCACAGTCCATCCCTCAATCCTCAGGGGTGACAACGCATCTGCATTTTGATTCTTAATCGACGTTAACGTAGATGTCTATGGGCCATGACATTCGCTTACCATCACATGGACAATGTGGGTATTTGTCTTGCTAATTCTTAAAAAAAAAGCCTTGAATTCAACAATTGCTTGAATATGTTGTAAATATATATATATATATATATATATATATATATATATATATATATATATATATAAACATAGTTTGAGTAAAATTATTTTATCGTGTTTAATTTTACTTATTTTTAATTCGCGATCGGCACGGGAGACTGAGATGATTTTTTTTTTATAACATTCGGTCCAATCTATGCCGACATAGTTGACAGCTTAGTGTCTTGAAGTCTTGCAGTGGTATGCTTGGGTTCAGTTTTACTATTGAAATTAGGATGTTTTTAATTTAATTCTTTTATTGAATGCCTCTTTTCTAGAAAAAAGGGTTCGGTTCTCTACACTCATAATAGGAAAAACATCAGCGTTAAACTGCTACTTTACGCTGGTATTCTGTGTAGGATATTTACTCATAATTGAGAAGCGTGGAATAAAGCTATTATTTACGGATTTTATCGCGTTTAATTACAACTTTTATTTTATTTATATTATCCCAACGTTTCCAATCGTTTCGTATGAGTCCAGTTGTTGGTTAGCTAGTGCGTGTGTGTGCAGGCGGAGCGCTGGCGGCCGCGGGGGCTGCGGGGTCCGGCCCAGCTCCTCTGATCCTGGACCGCGAGGGCCGCACCGTGGACACCAGCGGGAAGCGGGTGCAGCTCACTCACGTCGTGCCAACGCTCAAGGTATATCACCAATACATCAATCCATTACAGCACATAGAATGCGTCATTTTTGATTTTGCCACAGTTGCCACGCTCAGCCGGCGGCTTGGCAGCCGGAGTTTTTTAATTGTGAGTCGTTATTAAGACGCTGCTGCCCATCTTCTGTTTCAGTTCTCTCCCTCTCCTCTGGCGCCTCTTGCGACTCCCCCGGCACGATATGGCTAGTTCATATACTTATATTGCCACTTCACGGTAAAAAGAAGCCCAGACGTGTGATGACGGATAATTAAACCTTCAAGTGCCATAAAAACCCCATGCAGTCGCATGCGCCCGGCAAATCTCGAGCGGTCGCATGCGTGCATGTGTGCTATAGCACTTAAAACCATTAAAACTTGTATTTAGAGACTACTTTTTTATGAAGAAGTTTAGCATCATAATATCTATTTCTACAAAATTATCTATCTTGTGGTCTAAAAAGTCAGGTTTTATTTCATTACAAAAAGATTTTATTCTAGTTTAAGTAAGTAAGTAAGTTTGATAACGAAAAAGACATATCAAGCGAATGTCGGCAACGTGAAAATTACAATTATTTCAATATATATTACTCGAAATTATTTACGTAAAAAGATAAATTATATTCACACTGTAATAAAACACTATACTAAAACACTAATAAAACACTAGAAAAATCCAAAAATCAACACAATAACATTCACGCGAAACGGGCGTGTAATAAACGTAGATTATAAACAAATATCCATAGGATAACTGTTTTTTTCTTGCACTAGAGGATAGAGTATTTCGTATTGATTATATAATGCCAAATTTCTTCATAGAAATGTAGTCTCTATATATAAGTTTTTATGGGTTAAAGTGTTGTGGTGGGTGCGACCTCATGAGACCGCTACGGAATTAACGAAATATGGCCGCGGTCTCAAGAGACTCTTACTCACAATGTCTTCAAACCATTGACCGCGTAATAAATCATTCTAGGGAATGTACGAGTACGATCAGAATACACATTACGCAACAGGACCACGTAAAATTAAAATGGGAAATAACCGTAATAAAAATAAGAAGGGACTAGGTTGGCGTTAAGAAACAGGCATAAATATGATAAACCTAATGAAATAAGTATCTAACGACCTACCTACTTACAGTATTAGTGATTATAAACATGTCGGTACATAGCATACGATGCGCGGGGTAGTGGGGGTGATATTAGAATTTGAGCTGAGATAGTATAGGCCCTTAAAGAATTTACATGAATGAAAATTACCATGGGAATGCTATGATCGCTACCATGCTGGTTCAATTATAATTGTGTAAAAATTATACAATAAATTATGGGAAACAAATAATTTATGGGAAAAACAAAACATAAAAGTATTGCAGTATAGAATATATAGAATATATCGTGAAGAAATATTTGCTCTAGTATCATTATCCAGGGATAAACAGAGGAATTCGCTTGTATTGGCTAAACGATACTCGAATATTCCTTATAAGGAAAAAAGCTGGCCAGGAATGGCAAAATTTGCCGAATCGACTTTTTGCAAATCTTACCATGTTGACACTCCATCTAATGCGGTACCTATTGGACTCCTACTCTTGAAAATTTCTGCCTGATGGGTTGTAGGTTTTTTTAAGGTTGCAGTATACTGTAAGCCCATTGGCGCATGTATTAATGTGTTATCTGGTACCATCTATTACGGTTGCTGAATGTGTAAATAAATAAATGGTAACTGTAGGCGAACATCCGCGCGCTGCGACGCGAGGAGTTCCGCGCGCAGCTGGCCGGCAGTGCGAGCGTGGGCGTGGGTGCGGGCGTGGGTGGGGGGGCGGGCGTGGGGGCGGCCTCGTGGCTGGACGAGCGCGTTGCCAGCAAGCCGCCGCAGCGCGCGCGCCGGCCGCTGCGCTTCCATGAACCTGGCAAGTTCCGGCAGCTGGCAGAGCGACTGCGCATGAAGGTACCTTTGCGTCTACTCTCTACTATACACTGTAGTTTGTATGACGTCGAGAGGAATCTTTTTCCGTTTTGGAATAATATACGTGCTAGAAGTACTAAGCGAGTGGATATCGTCATTTAGCAGGTATATATTATGGATCATTTTATTTTTTATGGAACAAGGGGAGACAATCGAGCACACAGTCCACATTACAGCCCATAGACATCTGCATCTATCCTCGATTAAAAATATTGTGCAGATGCATTGTCACCTCTGAGGACTAAGATGGAATGCCTCGTTTCTAGTAAAAAGGGTCTGCGGATCTCTAAACTCACCATACGAAACACATTAGCATTAAACTGCTATTTCACGCTGGTATTCTGTGAGAGCGTGGTCCTTCGAGCCGATCTATTCGTGCTTCAATAATATATATATATATATATATATGGCTCTGCCACATGTAAGTGTGCATTATACAGTATTAGAATCCTAGGTCGGGCCCAAATCAATTATTGGGTTTTTGTCAAGTAGAAGTCCATATGGGTAGACACTAAATTTTTTTAACTATTTATACCGTCAAGCAACTGTACTCACACTGTTGTGTTTTATTTTGTTGGAAGGGTGTAAAAAACTAGTATAATTACACTTTCATCTGCATCACCATTCCATCTTAATCCTCAGAGAAGCGAATATGACCGGTCGTGGTAAAGGTGGTAAAAGCTTAGGGAAAGGTGCAGCGAAGCGGCATGGAAAGGTTTTTCGTGATAACTTCCAGGGTATCACCCAAACCATCTATCCGACGTCTCGCTCGCAGGAGCGGTATGAAACGTATCTCCGGTTTTATCTACGAGACACGCGGTGTACTTAAGGTTTTCCTTGAGAACGTGACTCGTGACGAAGAGGAAAACCGTCACCGCCCTGGATATCTTCTACGCGCTACAAAGTCAAGGGAGAACCCTTTACGGATTCGGCGGCTGATATCTCATACGAGAGAGACATCGTCCGTCCTAGCATATTGCGGCTCTCTGTCCGCTCTAGATTGACTCTGGAGTGAGGACTCCGGGTGTGACAACATATCTGGAGCTTTCTTTGTATGAAGTTGGCTGCGGGTGTCTATAGACTTCAGTAGCCACTTACCACCAGGTGGACTGTAAGTTTGTTTGTGACATAAAATACATAAACACTCACGCCTGCCACTCAGAGAGCTAGGCAGAGACTACACACTTCCATTTGGTAAGATCCTGACACCTCTCTCGCCTCCTCCACATCCATATACCTACTCATACATGCTCGTCAGTTAAATATACTCTTAATTTGGCCCATATTCAATGTATCGCCAATTTGGTCGATAAACTTTCCATTCCATTTCAGTCCATTTCCGACTATTCCATTCACTTCTGCAACATATATTTGCTTTGTCAGTCTTTCCTCATTCATTCTTTCCATATGACCAAACCACCGAAACTTTCCTTTCGTAAACCTGGTCACAACATCATTTGCAATCCACACTTCTTTTATCACACAATTTCTCACCCTGTCATTCAGATTCAGCCCTAACATACTCCTTAACGACCGCATTTCTACTGCATTTCTCTCTTTCTCTCTCTCTCTCTCTCTACTCTCGTGCTTCATCTGCCACACCCAACTTTCAAGTAGGGACTAACACAGCATTGTGAACTGCCATACATGCCTTGTGCAGTCACACGTGTCTTTCGACACATTCTGACTTCACAATAGAGTGTTGAGCCCCATTTACTTTATTTCCTGCTTTCACTCGTCGTTCTATATTCTTATCATTTCTCCCATCCCTGCTGAATACACATCCCCCATATATAAACTCATCTACTTACTCGACCAACTCGTTTGTGACTTTAGTTTTAATTAAAATAGATGAAATTGTTAGCTCTAAAAGGATTTCCTTCGCAGCTAATTTAACTTTATCCCCAGGCTCAACTGGAGAAACTTCAAAATGAGATCAGTCAGATCGCGCGCAAAACGGGAATATCATCAGCGACCAAACTGGCTCTCCTGGCCTCCGACACACCCGACAGTGATCGAGTACCAGATATTGAATGGTAAATACCAACATCGCTTTGTGTGTATGTGTTTTTTTTTAGACACGTCCTTTTGCCATTGTCAAGTATTATGTCTCTCTATAATAATTAGTGAAAAAAAACTTCTTCACAATATGAAGAATAATGATACGTCATATTGCAATGTTTTTGAAAGATTTGACGACTGCTTGAGCCACCATTCAGCCATTACATCATAACGCAAGGTAGGTGTTATATTAAATTTTAACAGTTACTTAAGTAATATTAAACCATGATAGGCTAAAACTACTTCTAATTTGACAATTTGAAGGACGCATAAGCTGATTTACTTAATTCTGTACATGTTACAGTTCAGTCTGATATCCATATAAGCTTATTATCATTTGTAATTCCGAGAAGTTTACATTGTATTTTATTATGTAAACTTCTCGGAATTACAATTTATGTCATTTTCATATTCATTTCGATCGTAACATTTTATTATAGCGGTACTGTCATCTGCAAATAGAACCATATGTTGCCGTACGAATTATGATAAATCATTAATATAAGGAAAAGTATAAATAAATAGCCCATGGACACTTTCTTGAGGAACATCAAACCTTTTTATTATATGATCATACAAATGTAGATCTACGTGATTAGGTAGTAGTGGTGTAACTGCGCTATTGCTCGACTTGTCCAAAGCTTTTGATTTTGTTTGTCATAAGAGATTGCTTGTTAAATTATCCAAGTATGACATTCGAGGGGCAGCATATGACTGCATCCAAACTTATCTTAACAATAGATCTCAATTTGTCGACACGTTGGGGTATTGTTCAAATAACAAAACCGTTTCTACGTGTATGTCTCCATTACTAAACAACAATTTAAGTGTACCGCAAGGAAGCATTTTAGGGCTTCTGTTTTTTTTACTGTACATAAAAGATTTGTCTAAACATTCATTACATCAGTGCATACTAATAGGTCGGGGAAAGAGTTTCTTCATATTTCATGTACAAATTTAAGACTTCTTTTTTTCAAAGATCAATTACATTTAATTATAATATATATGTGCCATTTTGTTCGATCACTTGTCGCAAAGTTCATTAGGTTTCTTTCAGTAAGCTCGATGGTACACAAATATCAAGCTTTTTTGTATATTATTACACCACCACTGCACTGTATAACTACATTACTCAGATTATAAAATGCCATATTAATTGTTTTCTTTTTTCTTAATCCTTTTTGGTGCCGCAGTGTCACGTATAAATCTTTCTTACAACGTTATAACTTCATGTCCAGCTCGTAGTAGGTGTGCATGGCAGTGCTTATTTTACTATGTCAATTCAAATCTTTCGTATTTCACCTGTAAACCCCACGTCAGGTGGGACAGCGTGATCCTGATGACGCCAGAAGAGCGAGAAGAGAAGAGAAAGAGAAGCAAGCCGTCGGACGACTCGCGGACCGATACCCAGCGGGTGGACGCTTGTAATGTGGGCGCGGACGATATCGTGGACAACCTCAACGAGGACGCCATCACCAACTTGGTGGAGCACCCGCAGCAGTTGCGGCCACCCAGTGAGTCCACCTTTTTTTGAACACATCGCTTAAACTAGTTATTTCATATTTAAGTAATAGAGTGCAGAAAGTTATTATTAATGGAAGTTCTTCTGGATGGCCCGTACAGATGGGTGTCCCTCAGGGCTCAATTCTTGGCCCATTCTTATTTTTAATGTACATTAATGACTTACCTTCCCTTGTAGGGGATAATCATGATATAGTATTATTTCCTGATGATACTGCCTTGATTTTTTTAAAACTTTTTATAGAATAAGAGTAACAAACTTGATTGCTGTGGTTCATAGACCTCTACATCTATCCTCAGTTAAGAATCAATATGCAGATGTGTTGTCACCCGTGAGGACTGACTGCGTCGTTTACAGTATAAAGGGTCTCCGGGTTCTTACTGTCAAGCAATTGTCAGTAGCAACCCGTTCCTTAAAAGAGCCCCAAGGATCTCGATCTCATAAACCCATGATGTGGAACAGTCTAATCATCAAGGGTGAGGTCAATGGAATGCCGCGTAAACTGACCATAGACACTGGAGCCTCTCGTACGGTTGTTAGTTCCCAACTTATAAGTCAGTTCCTTGGGGACTCCTCATACAACCAAAAACGCATTGATTCGGTAACAGCCGCCGGTCAGCGCGTACCCGTCCGTAGAGAGAAGGAGAGCCCCAGTCAGGAAGTTAGCGGCGTTTCACCACTATTGGTGCTACACCTGATCTCTCTCCGGTCTTGTCGGATTGCCGTCCCGTGGGACTTAGACAAATTTTTATACTGCTTTATGAATAAGTATATAAGTATTCTAATCGATCAGCTCGGCGATCATCAAATATACAAATGTAATATTGTTACAAATAAAAGAAAAGATTCATTGTTTAAAAGATTTTAATGGCCTTCAGCCAAACAAATAATTACTAACGTAAAGTAAGTTATCAAAAATGTAAGATTTGAAATAATGACGCTAGGTATTCGAGTAGGGTTTTCGCACTCCGTGACGACCGATGGCAAAAGGGGCGGGTGCCGCCAGCGGCCCTCCTATATAGCCCGCTGCGTCGCCACTCATGATTCAGACCCTCTTCTAACAATATTGTAAAAATAGTTTACGAAACCGTTGAGGTATTGGAATCGCCCGTTTTTAAAATAAAATGGAATGGTACTATATAAAAAATCAAAAGGTAAACTTCGTCTCCACTTGGGCCATCCCAATTTTTATTGACGGGTACACGTATGTTTATTAAGCTCAATGAAGGCCTTGGAAAGGACACAATTGATTTAAAACGTTATCCCACATTAGAATATTCTCCTGTATCATGGAAGCAGTTTACAAACATAAATTGCACAAGGACAAACATCCAAATCCGGAGCAATTACTTGTAGACCATACAAATACTTGTTCCGTGCGGGATTCGAACCCGCAGCCCCCAGCGCGTCACTCATTGCTAAGCCACTGCGCCACGGAACCGCCTAAAATATACCCAAAGCGCTAAAATGTACCAAACTATAGTTATTAAACTTAACCCCGGCGTCAGTAGTTAAGCAACCCCTTGCCAAACTAAATTGAGTTTTGTGAGTCTTTACTGTTACAACCTATTAAAGTCCACTGTTGAACAAAGTCTTCCCCCATAGATTGACTCATAGGGATATATTTGCCACAGTTGGCACGCTTGGCAAGTGGGTTGGCATTCGCAGTTCTTATTTTAGTTGTTATCAGGAAGTCGCTGCTGCCCATTTCCTGATTAGTTTCCCTCTGTCGCCTCTGACGACACCCACGAGATGACATGAAGCAGTTGATATACTTCTTACATACATAATATACATACATAAACACTCACGCATGTCACCCATAGGGGTAGGCAGAGACTACGGACTTCCATTTGGCACGATCTTGACATACCTCTTTCGCCTCCTTTACATCCATATATCTACGCATACATGCTCGTCGGTTAAGGGTACTTCTAACGTGGCCCATTTTCAATTTGGTCGATAAACTTTTTTCTAGGGCGTCCCTTCCCGACTCTGCCGTTCACATCTGCCATATAAATTCGCTTTGTCACTCTTTCCTCATTCATTATTTCTACACGACCAAACCACCGAAGCATTCCTTTCTTAATCCTGGTCACAACATCATCTTGCACACCACATTTATCTCTTATCACGCAATTTCTCACCCTGTCATTCAGATTCAACCCTAGCACACTTCTTAAAGACAGCATTTCTACAGCATTTATTCTACTTTCGTGCTTCTTCTGCCACACCCAGCTTTCACTACCATACATTAAAGTATGGACTAACACAGCATTATGAATTACCATACGTGCCTTTTTTGATACATTCTGGTTCTTCACAATAGAGTGTATTGCCCTATTCACTGTATTCCCTGCATTTACTCGTCGTTCTATATCCTTATCATATCTCCCATCCCTGCTAAATACACATCCCAAATACACAAACTCATCCACTTGCTCAATTAACTCTCCTTCTATTCTTATTTCACATACCGTTTTGCTTTCTTCTCTTTCAAAAACCATCACTTTCGTCTTACTTGCGTTCACTTTCATTCCCCTTTCTTTTAATGCCCAGTTCATTAATGTAACCATCATTTGCAACTCAGCCGGCGATGACGCAAATATGACTTGATCATCGGCATACAAAAGGCATTTGACGGTTAACTCGCCCATTCTTAACCCACATTCTTCATCTTTCAAAGTTTGCAAACACCTGTCCATAAATAGGTTGAACAGCCAAGGGGAAGCCACACAGCCCTGTTTGACCTTTTCGGATGCCAAACCAGTAGTAGACCCCATTGATCCTGACACAAGCACTAGAATCCCTATAAAGAGACCTCAATGCCTGTATCAAACCAGCGCTCAACCCAAATGAGTTCAAATATTTCATCTCATCCGGATGGAGAACTGTTATACATATTTAGAAGCGAGCAAACGAATATATTACATTGATTGGATAGAACCGACTGAGTCATTCCGTAATGTTGTTATCGCGGTGTATTTATATATAGCCACAAATATTTCTCGCTTAAAACAGAACATATCGGCCAGTGTTAACGGAACCTAGCGCACAGGATAGGATTATAGTGTATTAGTGTATGACATGAGAGTGAGGCAATAGAGAGTGCACCTGTGCTTGCGCATACACTTGGGCACTATAATCCTGTCCTGCGCCGATGGCTAGCCTCTGTTGAGGCTGGCCGCCGTGACCGAAATCCGGCCTGGAGGACATTGTTATTATTATTGTGTCCTTCGATAGATCTCAGCACAATAATGTTGGATAAAAAAGCAAAAGAATTACAACCTGATATACGTCCCACAGCTATGCACAGGTCTCCTCTTATTCCTTCCATCGTCGTAGGAAAGTAACTTTTTACAGAATTAGTGATAAATGAGCACACAGTGTAGTGACGGTAAGTGGATGCTGTGGCCCGACACGTCACACACACGTCACATACACGTCATACACACATCACATACACGTCACATATACGTCACACACACATCACATACACGTCACACACATCACATACACGTCACACACACAGCACATACACGTCACACACATCACATACACGTCATACACACATCACATACACGTCACACACATCACATACACGTCACACACACGTCACATACACGTCACACACACATCACATACACGTCACACACACGTCACATACACGTCACACACACATCACATACACGTCACACACACGTCACATACACGTCACACACACATCACATACACGTCACACACACGTCACATACACGTCACACACACATCACATACACGTCACACACACGTCACATACACGTCACACATACATCACATACACGTCACACACACATCACATACACGTCACACACACATCACATACACGTCACACACACATCACATACACGTCACATACACATCATACACACGTCACATACACGTCACACACACGTCACACACACGTCACATACACGTCACACACACATCACATACACGTCACACACACGTCACATACACGTCACACACACATCACATACACGTCACACACACATCACACACACGTCGCACACATCACATACACGTCATATACACATCACATACACGTCATATACACATCACATACACGTCACACACGTCACATTCACGTCACACACACATCACATACAAGTCACACACACGTCACATACACGTCACACACATCACATACACGTCACACACACATCACATACACGTCACACACACATCACATACACGTCACACACATCACATACACGTCACACTCACGTCACACACACATCACATACGCGTCACACACACATCACACACACGTCACATGTATCCCCGATGTGGACTAAGATGGAATGCCGCGATTCCAATAAAAAGATCTCCGGTTCTCTAAATACATCATACGAAATACATCATTAGCATTAAGCCCTTGTATTCTGTGAGAGCGTGGTCCTTCCCCGTTCGAGCCGACCCATTCGTACTACAACCATAATATAACTTCATCGTGACTGCACTACAAGTGTATTTATAATACTAGCCACCTGCCATAGGTGCCACAGTGGATCTATGTCTACGTCTGATAAAACATACTTAGATTCCACCAGCTCATATCGTGCCCTGCGTGGCGCAAGAGCCGACACCCAGGGGAACTGGAACAGGCGATTGACAGCAGCGTCTTTCTGATAACTGATAGCATCAAAATAATGAAAAACTGCGGTGGATGCTCATCAGTGTTCACCAGTAGGCTTTTATAGGCCGTAATTGTTTTGGAATATCAGAAGAAATTTATAATTAGTTTTTATTATAATAATAAAGCTTCTAACGTACAAACCGCTAGTTTTAAGGAATGTAATGCCGGCTGTACACGCTCGTCTCATTGCCTCGCGTGCCTCTCGTCGTGTTGAGGCTCGACAGGAGAACACACCATGTACACACCGTATCGTTTGAACTCCGTGTGCCCGCTGAGATAGACCTAAACGAAACTGTTGCTGCGTTTTGCCTTTGTGCTATTAGTTGTTATAACTTTTTACACATTTACCATAAAAATTAAATTAATAGGCCACGGCGAAGAAGAAGATGGTGGATGGTTTCTATTTACCGTAACTGAACCATGTACGGTGAATATAATACAGTACGCTCTCATTTTCGTCGCGAGACTCACGAGACCCTTAGACTCGAGCGCATAAAACCAACACGCTTCCCAGAGCGCACGAGGGCCAGGAGACGCGACGAAAGCACCATATACATACTCGTACTCGGGCTGTCTCGTGGTGTCTCGGACGCGCATGTACAGCCGCTATAACAGCTCCCCCCCCTACTTTCAAACGCAGTTATACTCTTCATAATCATCCGTTATACTGTCCCTCTCACTCGTCTATACCCCCCTCCCCCTACACACACACAGCAAAAAAAATAGTCAAATATTTTTAAAATTGTATTTTTAGAAAAATTTTACACTTCGTCAACTGGTACACACATGAATCCGATTTTCTTGAAGAACGCGGGACACCCGACTGAAACGCACAAAAAACAACTCTCGACAATAATGGGAGGAGTTGTTGTAGTTGTAACTTTATATCCGGTAGTGTTACTCGTGTTATATCCGGGTGTAACGTATTTCGGATTGCCACCGGGCGAGATACTGTTGAAACCGTTGATATTATTAGTAGAGTTACTTGTTGAATTCTGGAGATTGTAATTATTGTAGAAGTTATTTGTGTAAATATCACTGTTGTAGAGATTTTTAAATCCATTATTAGATTGGTTGTAACTTGGATTGTAAATATTTGTCGAATTTGCATTATTTGGATAATTAGGATAGTTAGAATACAGATTTGTATAGTTCACGTACGTGCCTGAAAATCCTTCACCCGACTGTCTGTAGACATTATCGATTGTGTTGTGTCCTGTAGCAGAATTATATTTGCTATAAAAAGGTGTTTTATTGACACTGGGAATCTTTGCTTCGAATCTATTGACTCCCCATACGGGTCCGCTGTAGTTCCTTGCATAAGGAAAAGACGTCCTAGGAAACAGTTTTTGAATCCATGATCCGTTTGAATTCGTGTATGGATACGGATAGCTACTGTAATTATTTTCGTTATTACTGTAAGGTGTGTTCCGTTTCACTCGATCCGACGATCCTTCTGTTATGTTTTTTGTTTGAAGGCTTTTTGAAGGCAAAAGCATTGTATTATTTCTGCCAGGATTATAGATAAGTTTGATAAGGCGGTCGTCTTCAATATAACTAACATGTGGCAGTTCACTATCATATTGCTTACGGCCTTCAATATTTTCTTCGGTATTTTGATCGTTTTTTTCTCCTACATTTTCTTCTTCACTAATTTCTCCAGATTCTTTGTGGGTCTCATTTTCTAAAGTTAAGTGGTTCATACATATTACTGCTACTATTAAATCATCATTTTTTTCATATTCTGAAGCTGGTTTATTTGTTACCAGTTCATCACAATTTTTAAATCGATCATCGGCGGATGTCACCGTAGTACTTGACTCAGTATTTGTTTCTTCTTCTGATTCGTCATCTTGCGCCGAAGTCATCAATGCTTCGGTAGTTTCATTTATAGTAAATGTATTATTCTGAACATGTGACGTATCGTTCAGTGAATTGTCTTCATAAATAGCTTCCGTGTTATTGGTTATGTTCTCAACGACATCTCTCTTCACTCTTATATCCAACGGATGTTTTTTTATGTTGTAATTATTTAGTTTTGCACCCATATTGAGTATAACGGCTAGCACAAACAGAGGCAACAACATTTTCGCTGTAATCCTGTCTAAATATAACTGAAGTTGATTGAGGAATGTTTTGCGTTAAACTCTGTTGAGTAATGATTTATCTCGTGTGTTGTGAGACTAGCGATCGCCCGCATCTGTGGTTGTTATTAATATGAAATTAAATTATATTAAATAAATATATCCGGGTTTGAACCCCGCCGGCATCAATGAAATTGTTAATTGCAATTTTAAGTGCTGATTTACCATGTGCTCGGCGGTGAAGGAAAACATCGTGAGGAAACCTGCATGTCTCAGAAATAAGAAAAAAATACTTCGAAGGCATGTGAAGTTCGCCAACACGCATTGGGGCAGCGCGGCGGACTATTCCTTGCCCTAAAACCCTCTCAGAAATGAGCGGAGGCCTGTGGGCAGGAGTGGGACGTATAGAGGCTGTAACTTTTAACTTTATTTATATATATATATATATATATATATATATATATATATATATATTTATATTCACATTATTGCTACATTGGAAACCAATAACAAATTTACGTATAAATTCAGTACTTAATCTATATATTTATACATACGAGGGGTGATCCAAAAGTAATGATAATGAAAATAAAACACGGTAATTAAAGTGAAAATAATAATTTATTTTTCTACATAGTTTCCTAACAAATCAATACATTTAGTCCATCTTTTTTCTAAACCCAGGATTCCCTTTGAAAAAAATTCTTTGTCTTGACCCTCCCAAAACGCTTCAACAGCGGCCATTACTTCGCTATCGTCTTCGAATTTCTTGCCTCGGAGGCGTTCCTTAAGCCGAGGAAAGAGGTAGAAGTCACTAGGAGCTAGATCTGGCGAATAGGGAGGGTGTTCGAGCAGTTCGAATCCCGTTTCTTGAATGGCAGCCATCGCAACTGCGGCTTTGTGAGCCGGTGCGTTGTCTTGGTGAAACAGCACTCCAGCTCGCAGTTTGCCGCGTCTTTTTTCCTTAATGGCCTCCCGTAATTTTCTTATTTGGTCTGCGTAGTAAGAGCCCGTAATAGTGGCTCCCTTTTCCAAATATTCCACCATAATTATGCCTTGAGCGTCCCAAAAAACAGATGCCATAACCTTTCCCGCCGAACTTGCAACTTTGAATTTCTTTGGCGTCGGTGAGGAGGCTCGCTTCCAAGTCATCGATTGTTGTTTCGTTTCAGGATCAAAATGGTGGATCCAGGTCTCGTCCATAGTCACAAAACGGAACAAAAAAATTTCTTGATCTGCTTGGAACTTTTCGAGATTGACCCTCGAAATGTCAACTCGATTTTTCTTTTGCTCGTCGGTTAACATTCTGGGTACCCAACGCGTAGAGACCTTTTTCAAATGCAACTCGTTCGCGAGGATTCTTTGAACGCTGCCATATGAGATCCCTGTGACCTCAGCTACATGCCTGATGGTCACTCTTCGATCTGCCAACACAACATCTTCGGCCTTTTTCACGTTGTCTTCAGTGAGGGACGTGGATGGGCGTCCTTCGCGATGTTCATCTTCAGTGGATGTTCTGCCCAGTTTAAACTCCTTGGCCCAGCGTGCAAATGTAGAATATGGAGGAGCAGAGTCCCCCAATGTTTCCACTAAGTCACTGTGTATGTCTTTTGAAGACATTTTTTTTCAAACAGAGGTACTTGATGACAGCTCTAATTTCGTTTTTCTCCATGTTGATGTTATCTCTTTGATAGTTCGTATTCAAATGAATGTATCTCCCGGAAATCGTGGTCTATTTATATGATTTTTTTAGGCTGACGCAGTGAGTATGAGCAAGCAAAAAATAATTTTTGTTTGGATTTTTGTGCGGACCTGAAGTAACCAATTATCATTACTTTTGGATCACCCCTCGTATAAATAAAATTGAAATGTCAATCTGTAATTTCGAATTAACTGCCTTTATTGATCTGAGGGGTTATTGGCATGCGGTTAAAACATAAACCTTTTTTTATTTATTTATCTATCTGTCTGTCTCTTCAGACTAATGCAAGGGCTGGCTAAACAGATCGCACTGACACTTGACAAACAGGTGTAGAGCAATGTCAGCAGTAATCTAGACTATATTTTATTTAAAAAAACATGATGATTTTTTTTTAAATTCATAATAGATGAGATAAATGGTATTTGACGATTATTTTTATTTTTACATTTATCATCAATTAAGAATACAAATGCAGTTACGTCGTTACCCATGAGGACTAAGATGGAATGCCTCGTTTCCAGTAAAAAGAGTCTCCGGTTCTCTACACTCACCATACGAAAAACAACATTGAGCTGCTATTTTACGCTGGTATTCTGTGAGAGCATGATTAATCTTTGGAATGGTTGAACTCATTGCGATGACACTTTAAAATAGTTTTTTATTAACTGGCTTTACGGCTCTGGGTTCTAGCCCTTCTGCGCCTATAATTTTTTTTTTTTTGGAATCTTTATTTTTATATTCTTTTTCTTCACATTCACATATATGCTGATGTGTCACCTTGGGAGATTTTGACGACAGCTCAACCCAGCGGACAGTTGATGACGACAGCCACTCAAGTTCATAAGGCGCCTGAGCGATCAAAATAACTTGAGGTTTATGTCGACATCAAAGCACTTGTTTCGTCGTTTTCTCTAATAGTTCACACGCGCGGACACTTAGTTTACAAAATCGCATCACTTTTAGGAATCAAAATCCACTTCAAACCATTATTCAAGCGACAATCCGTCTAAGGCCAAGTTCCCGCCAAAACTCCCCTTTAAAATAGTGTAATATAACATATAACAGAGTAACATATAACAGAGCAATCACAGAAGAGATCTAGGTTATTATTTTATATATTTATTTAAAAAAAAAACGATAAAATTAAAAAATAAATTCTCTTTGAGTATTTTAAATATAAATAATGCCACATTTTAAACTCTTTACAGATTCTTAATCGAGAGTAGATGTAGATGGACCGCAGTATTCACTTACCATCCGGTGGACTGTGTGCTCATTTGTCAATCTTATTCTATAGTTAAGGACATAGCATTCGAATGACCCCTGAGCTTAACAGACCCCAGTTATTTTAAAATAACCGACAGACATTACAACTTTGTGTGAGGATAAATATATACACATACCAAATACTTATTTAACAATATTAAAACAGACAGTAATTTTAACAATGTTTGTATATTACTGTTATGTTTCCGCTTCCATATCGGTTTGAGGATTTTCAGTGTGCCAATGAATCAATTCAGTCGAATTATATTTTGTTATTGTAATTATGGAAGATAATAACCGAGCTATTTCTAATTTGTTTGTGGTATAACATAATATAATAATATATTTACTAGGGCCGATGCAGATGCAAAGGTAAAACCTTTTGCTGGCATCATAAACGGAGCGGAGTAAAAGTCTAAAGTCATAACTATCTTTATTACAACAAAAGATTCAATCAAATGGTGTGACATTGCGCAGATGTAAATTAGCGAATTGATTAGATAGTAAGAGACAAAACTTTGTCTGTGTTGAGCTACAAATATTGTAGAAAAACTTATGTTAATTGGTCTACGGGTTACGGAGGAGATAGTTTCAAAGAATCGTTTTCTTACGCCACGGGAGCTCCGCTCCAATAATTAAAATACATTTTTAATATTATTTAATAAGTTTTGAACCAAAAGTTTATCAGCAAGCTTCACATGGAGTGAAGATTACATTATTATTTGGTTTTATTTCATGACGTTACCGGAAGTATCTGTCTCAATACAACCGATAAACAAGGACGGATGACGGAATGATTTTTTAAATGTTTCGTTTAACTAATTGTCTTGATTCTTTATTTAAGCCTAGAATGTTCTATATTCATCTTATTGGATATAAAAGCGTGAGCCGACAGTCGGATAATCAATTATTTCGGGAACTCGAAAGTGTGTTCTAGTTTGGGAAGCGTTTGTAAACAATCGATCTATGACAGCTGCGATTATTATTATTATTATTATGGACCTCACCGAAGAAGCTTAGCGATTTGAAACGACGTTTTTTTAAGGATAATGATGACAAACGATCACACAGTCCACCTGATGGTAAGTGGATGCTGTGGCCCATAGACATCTACATTTATCGATTAAGAATCAAAACGCAGATGCGTTGTCACCCGTGAGGACTAAGATGGAATGTCTCGATTTCAGTAAAAAGGGTCTCCGGTTCTCTACACTCACCATAAGTAATACAGCAGTAATTAAGCTACTATTTTACGCTGGTATTCTGTGAGATCTTGGTCTTTCCCCGGTCGAGCCGACCCATTCATGCTACAACCATAATATAGCTGCAGCTTGGCTTCACCACGTATAATATTGATTGTATTTTTGCTATGTGTGTGCAGAATTCATATATTGCTTAAAACTGGAATTGAACCGAGTAATATATTCGGCCACACGCCGAATACCGAATATTCTGCGGACCCTTGATCGAAAAGCCGAATATTCATCATCATCATTCCAGCCCTTCATAAATTATCTGCTGAACATGGGCCTCCCCCAAGGAATGCCACAAAGCACGGTCCTGAGTCTCCTGCATGTCTTACCAGGTCGTCACTCCATCTAGCGGTTGGTTGCCGTACACTTCGCCTGCCGGTACGAGGCTGCCACTCGAGAACCTTTCTTCCCCAACGGTTGTCGGTTCTTAGAACTGTATGGCCGGCCCATTGCCACTTCAGCTTACTAATCCGTTGGGCTATGTCGGTCACTCTGGTTCTACTGTGGATATCCTCATTTTTAAGTTAATCACACAGAGAAACCCCTAGCATAGCTCGCTGAGCGACCTTGAGCGTCCTCATACGGCCGGCTATGAAGTGAAAAGTGAAGCCGAATATTATAGGCTAATGTATTTGGTCGGGAACGAAGTACAGTTTTTTTTAATCAGGGCGTCTATTCTCGGGGGCTGGGATTGTCTGCGAGGAGAAATTTTGTAATAACATTTTATCAAATAATTAGTAAACTACTACCTGAACATGCTGAAAAATAAGTCTCTCTGCACCATTATCTTCCACTTTAATTACGATAATTCGAGTGCATAGACATTTATGTGATAGTTTTTTTTTTTGTTATATTTTTATAATACGGAAGTTTATTATGTACTTGTGACTACTTTAATGATTATAACGAAAATACTTCATTATAAAATAAATAAATAATTTTTAATTTACCAGTCATCTGACTACAACAAAAAATATCATTTATGTATTCGGTATTCGGCCGTAAAAAAGTAGCCGAATAGGCCGAATATCGAATATTCGTTGCAAGTCTACTGTTGCGCCCCCCTATTAATGCCTGGTATGTGGTGACACTAGTTACCACTAGAGCCTTCTAGTATCGAGTAGCAGAACTAGGAGAGTTAAGATCTTTTTAGAAATTTCCATGCTAGAACTTTCTTTCGTCTGGGTACTACCACCTGTTTGAGATTCTGTAATTAATAAAATTAAAACTTAACCCAAGCATTGCAAGACTTCAAGACACAGTAAGTTCATTCTGCGTATATCGGACCATAAATAATAATTAAAAAGCTGAAGGTACTCTGGGTTAACACTGACGTCGGGACGTCTGTCCCCCGTGACCACGGGTGCCGGAAAGCACCCGAAACATCGGGAATCAAAAATCAAGTAAATCAAACGTAATAAAATCCGTAAAGGTATCCTTTTTAAAATCAAAAATTGCGTCGTCACGTCCATCGCGCTCTCGTTCAATTGTATCAGTTCGTTTAACTTCTACCAAAACTTCGGTTCATTTTGGCCGAAGTCGAAGCTTTCGCCGTAGGTGGTTTTCTTTAACGATGACCGAATCTGAAGCTTCGGTCGCATACTAGTTATCATACAAGTTTTATGACACGATGCGATTTAATTTGGGGTCTCAAGTTGGTCTAAACCGTCCACAGCGGAGCCCCTTAAACCCACGTACATGCCGGTGTTTCTCACCAAGAAGGAGAGGAAGAAGCTGCGTCGCCAGAGCCGCCGGGAGGCTTGGAAAGAAGAACAAGAGAAGGTCCGCCTCGGCCTGGAAGCACCGCCTGAACCCAAGCTCAGGTATGTGAACAATAAGAACTGTGGTAATATAAGTGTGTAATGAGAGAAGAGTGTGGTAAGAAAGAAAGAAATATTGCATTGACCAACACACAACATTAAGAATGACTGTAGCGGGTCTGATGTCTGCTGTTGTGTGTACACTGAAGAAGGTGTATAGATAAAGTGGTGATAGTCCTGTACTTACTACACTAGCACATTTATTCTGCGCTGCTGGGCACTGTCCTCCCCTCAGTTCTGAGAGGGTTATAGGGCAGGGAAGTGTCCTCCGCGCTGCCCCAAAGCGTGTTGGTGAACTTCACGTGTCTTCGAAATAATTTTTCTTATTCCTCAGACTTGCAGGTTTCCCTACGATGTTTTCCTTCACCGCCGAGCGCGTGGTAAATCAGCACTTAAAATTACAATTAACAATTTCGTTGGTGCCGGCGAGGATCGAACTCGGGTTGCTCGCGTACTGTGAAGTTTACAGCGTGCGCTAATTACCTATGCTGCTACGGCTCGTTCTGAGCTATCACGGCTCACAAATACACATCAAAATATACAGTTAGAAGGATCATGCAACACTTACCAGAAGAAACAAGTATAAAGATACAAAGAAAGGCGGAGAGAAGTTTAAGAGAAACTAACTCGTCTTGAGTCTGTGATGAGCGGGAAAAATAACAATACGAGACGGACAGGAGACGCCATGTTAGCCCGTCCGGCGACCGCGACTAACGGACGTGTTCGCGCGTCTTGCGTATAAATCAAATCGTGTTGATTTTTCCGCGAAGCAAAACATAAATACGGAGACGTTTGTTAACGAAATAACTGTTCCCGTAGTCGTTCTAGTTTGACCAATGTTTAAATATTTTAATAACAAGCGTACGTAAACGACTTATCAAAGTTCACGGCTGCAGCCACTGTCGCACGAGATTACCTTATATAGGGTATGTTCCAAAATAGAACCCAGTGTACTGTCCAATGCAAATGACGTCATAAATCGACGCTATACTAGTGATTCGCATACTGGTGATTCGTTTCAAAACGTTTGACAGTATATGACATCATACATTTGCGTTGTATTAGAAAAGTGTTGGCGATTATTATGTCATTTTGTGCTCCAAAAGTAATTTTTTTAAAGAATATTAACAATGCTATTATTTACATTACTAATATTCCCCTTAACCACTCGTGGTAAGCTTAAATTACTTGTGTTACGAGTGGTTCACGCCAGTAGTCTAATGACGGATTCGAACCCACGACCTTTTTGAGTTCGCGGTCCGCGCTCTGCCATTAGGCTACTGTCTCTTCAAATTATATCCTCCTAATGTAATAACCAGCAATTATTCTATAATTATCTTAATGTATTTGAATAAATAAAAACAAATTCTGACATGCTTCATTTAGCGCACACACAATTAAAAATTGTTTCATTATGGCCGGATATCCGACACAAAATATGGCGGCGGCACGCCAGTACAATATGGCGTCAATTAATGACGTCATTTGTATTCTGCAGTATACTGAAAACGTTTCGGAACATACCCATAGTAAGGTATCGACGCTACCAGTATCGCACATGGATCGAACCTACGAGACGTCAGCCAACTGATAACATGGTGTTGTGTTTTGTGTGTGTGTGTGTGTGTGTGTGTGTGTGTGTGTGTGTGTATTGTGTGTATGTGTGTGTGTGTGTGTGTGTGTGTGTGTGTGTGTGTGTGTGTGTGTGTGTGTGTGTGTGTGTGTGTGTGTGTGTGTGTGTGTGTGTGTGTGTGTGTGTGTGTGCGTGTGCGTGCGTGCGTGCGTGCGTGCGTGTGCATTTGAGTGTGCGTGTGCGTGTGTTTTGTGTGTGTTTGTGTTAATGTAAAATGTTTGTGTTATAGTGTGTTAAGTTCTTTGTAATTAGTGCATGTTCCCTACAACTCTGAGTGACAGGGTGAGAAATTGTGTGATAAGAGAAGACTGTGGTTTGCAAGATGCCGTGACCAGGATTAAGAAAGGAATGTATGTATGTAATGTAAGTAATAATACGAAGATTTATCGACAAAATTTGCGATATATTGAAGATGGTATTGTTTTTAACGTGGTAGATCCATGCTACAGCTATGTTAGTAGTAGAGTTTTAGCACGAATGGGTCGGTTTGACCGGGGAAGGACTACGCTCTCGCAGAATACCAGCGTAAAACAGTTGCTTAATGCTGCTGTGTTTCGTATGGTGAGTGTAGAGATCCGGAGACTTATTTTACTGGTAACGAGACATTTCATCTTAGTCTTCACAGGTGACAACGCATTTATATTTTGATTCATAATTGAGTATAGATGTAGATGTCTATGGGTCGTAGCAACCACTTACGGTCATGTAGACGGTGTGCTTGTTTGTCACTCTTATCCTATAAGAAAAAATCTCTTCTCCAGGATATCGAACCTGATGCGTGCGCTGGGCACGGAAGCTGTGCAGGATCCCACCGCCATCGAGGCCAAAGTGCGCGAACAGATCGCCAAGCGCCAGAAGACACACCTGGAAGCCAACAAAGCGAGAGCGCTCACCAAGGAACAGAAGAGGGAGAAGGTGAGTCTCTGTACGATGGATAATGTGTGCGGAAACCATACTCAGCACTTAGTGTACAGCTCACCTGATGTTAAGTGACTACCGCCGCCCATGATCAACCGCAACACCAGGAGAATAGTAGTGCATTGCCGGCCCTTTAGAAAGGAGTAAGCTCTTTTTTTGAAGGTCCCTAAGTCGTATCGGTCTGGTAAATTCGCCGGTGGTAAACTATTCCACAGAGAGGTCGTACGCGGAAGAAAACTCTCAGTGAAACGTACAGTAGTGGACCGCCAAACATCCCAGGATGCTGGGATTAATCCGAACAATTCCTCAGAGCACTTCCCGTGTTATATGATAAAGAAAATGCAAAGAGATGAAACATCTCTACGCAACGCTAGTGAATCGAGCCGATCGGAAAGCACTCGGTCGTCGATGATTCGTGTGGCTCCGCGCCGGATGCGGTCAAGTGGCACTGGGGAGCCCCGACCCAGAGATGGGACAGTATTTCTGCGGCCGAACCTGCGCCTTGTAAAGTTGCAGGCGGTGTGCCGGCATGAAATACTGTCCTAATGTGTATACATAAAAATCCTATCAATAATCATAACAGTGAGCTAATTTCGCAAGAAATCTCTCAAGTTTTTGTGTGTGTTTGAGTGGGTCATTGGATAGTTTAGATTTACAATTAGATACAGTAGAAGGCGCTGTTGTCAATATTCTGATATCACCTGTGCGAAGCCGGGGCAGATCACTAGTGTTTTATAAATTCAAGTGACTAAAATAAATATTATCAAATTTTATAGATATATCAAGAGCAATCCAAAGATTTAAAGCGTTAGATGCGCCCTTACCATCGTATGACCATTCCGAAATGAGTCAACTCTCAAATGAGTGAGCTCACTCGTTCACAATCAGTGTTCATTAGTGCGCGGTGACAGCCAGATGTTGCACATTAGAATTAACGCGACTGATTTCAGCAAAAAAAAAAACTCAGAATGCCATCGTGTGCCTTTCGAAAGTGCAATAATAGTTCTAGAAACACAACTAAAGCCCGAGTTACACACATTGCAGTCGTAGGTGATCTATATTTTATTAAATATTGAATTTATTTTGTTCCGATATCAGAAAATACCACGAAATAATTACGAATTAAAAACGGAAACTGTGCGACAAAGAAAGTATTATACACAATTTCCTTAAGATAATAAGAGATGACATTATTTCATTAGTTGCGCGCGTAAGCGGCTTGCAAACGCACACATTCAAAAATAATGCATCAGTTTTTCAAGGTGAAGGCGCATCTAACGATTTAAATCTATAGAGTAATCACCATCGTGTGGACCGTTAACCTGTTTTTAGCTAACGCACTTAAGTCTTAACTGGAAGTTGTGTTTTCTCCTTGCAGATCGACAGGAAGATCAGGGAGGATACTAGCATGGCGGTTCATGTCGCAGTATATAGGTGAGTCTAACTAATTCTCTGAAATAGTACTGGGTCTTGTACTGATTATGCCGTAACTACCCATGTCGAGATTTTAAGAAGACGAAAGAAGACTCGTTTAATAGCTAACGATGTAGACAATAAATCAATTATAACAATTTTGCGTTTCTTTTTTATAAAAGTGCAAAAGATATTTATTAAAACAAAAAAGTTTTTTTTAATTATTAGCTTTTTCATAAAATCTAAACTGTCAAGCTATATGTTTTTTGTTTTTGAACGTTAGTACAGAATGTGTGATTAAATATAAGTCTTAAATCTTAGCCCTAAGTAAGATAGTTTAGAAGTTATGATGGTTTAATAATTTTTCTAACCCTGGTAGAAAAAGAAAAATAAAACAAAATAAATACATTACCATAATGGTTTGTTCTGTCAAAATCAATGCAAACGTTATGCTCACGTTTCAAAATGTCCTCCGTGATGCAGACAAGCTGTTGCTCTAATTGGTACATGTTATGTAGCGCGTCGGATCATGTTTGTGTCTCTCTTCAATTCATTCCCAACTTGTATAATTTTGGAATAAGTTCCTTGCGTGTAGTTGGCACGTCGACGTATACCTTCAGCTTCATTGTGCCTCACATACAAATCAAGGGGGCTGAAGTCCGGTGAACGCGGTGGCCAAGCGAATGTTTCATCCACGTCGAATATAGTTTCTTACATTTACTGCAAAGTGTGCCGGAGCTCTGTCCAGTTGTGGCAAAACTGTTATAATTGATTTCTTGTCTACATTGTTAGCTATAAAACGAGTCCTGTTTCGTCTTCCAAGTCCTCTGCATGGATAGCTATGGCTCAATCAGTTCAAGCACCCGTGGCTCGAGGCAAACAAAAAACAAAATGGCTGCCATTTTATCATGGAGAGAGACAAAAATTTGGGATAATGATTTATCAATAAAATTTACCGTATTTCGACCCCCCCCCCCTACCCAAGTCTCCAACACCGGTGACCGGACACATTGTATATAAAATTGTATTGTCTGTGATCGAAATAACTTCCTTATATAGAGACGAGGGGATTATTTGCATGATTCTGTTACGAGCTTAAGGTTCGTAACAATAAAAACTGCCGATTGAATTACCTAAATTTAGACTTTTGTCACCGAACACCAATTAAAACTTAAAAGACACTAATAATTAATCACAGTTAACACTTTAGTTCACTTTATTTCGCTCCGAAAGCTTCGCTCGTATCGGCGATTCAATACTGTCCCGATCGCGGCTTTCAACGGCTTTATATAGGCTTCTTCCGACGAAACATCCAGAATCTTCCAGAAAATAGTGGCCCCGACCGACCAGGTGCAAAAAGTTCGAGTGTGGGGCTTTCTAGAAAACTTAATTCTTCTATTCGATACTAGATGGCGATGTTGGGGGAAAGTTTGGGCATGGCATTTTCTAGAAAGCTCTCCTCGCTCTGTTTCCCGACACTAGATGGCGCTAGTGCCAGGTACCAGACGTTAACTTAGGCGCGCAACACTTCGTAAGACATTATTGCCGTGTAGTGGCGGTGTGAGAATGTACACTGCCCTTCATCGTGCCGTGGGTGTCGTAGAGGCGACAGAGAAGCTGATAACGACTAAAAATAAAAAAATTAAAATTGGTTGTCTGTAGCGTCGGTTTACTGGCGATAGTTTAACGTGACAATATAACAAAACATTGATGAAATGATTGCATACTTTTACGAATAAAATTAAATCATTTTTATTGAATTATCATTATTTTGTATGTATATTGTGTGCTGCCGCTGTCTCTTTCCCCCCGGACACGTAGGCCAATCGAGTGGAAAAGAGATGGATGCGATGCAAGCCGCACGCTCAAGCCAATCGTGCCTTTCGCTCGCTCGTGCAGCGCTCTCGCTTCAATCGTAACGTTACAATGAGCGTAACGTTACAACGAGTCATCCTTTTTCGTGCGTGCAGCCGGCGTTCATCAATTTATTAGACGTTGTCACGTTAAAAACTACTATAGTCAACCCACTAACCAAGCATGGCTACTATGGCAAATTTGATGTATAATATATAATAATTTGGATTAATATCTACGTTCTTACATCATCATCATCATTACAACCATTCACAAGTCCACGACTGGAGGACATAGGCTCCCCCCAGGAATACCACAAAGCACGGTCCTGAGGCTCCTGCATGCAATTACTATTTAGAAAAAAATATGTAAAATAAAATCAAAAACACAATCTAACAAAATGAAGGGTAAATTTAGATTTTTAATCACTGCGTACACTTTCCATCCAAGTATCTATGTAAATCAACCCTACTTAGATTTAAAAGTATTTTTGCAATAAATTAATAGTAATAATATACTTGTGACTGAATTTCTGTCACATCGGCTGGTCTTAACGGAGACCTAGCCATCTGCGCAGCACAGAATTATAGTCCACAAGTGTATGCGCAAGCACAGGTGCCGCGACCGGAGAGAGATCAGGCGTAAGACCAACGCTTTGCGTGCTTTCCGAGTCACGGGGGTGAAACACCGCTAACTTCCTGACTCCGGGCAGCTACTGAGAATATCGGAACAGAAAATCTTAATAACTGATTTTTTGGCCCGACCCGGGATCCGGACCCGTGACCTCATGATCAGCACTCGCGTTAACCAACACTAGGCTAATGAGTCAATACTTACTATATATAACAACTGTGTTAAACCGATAGAGTGAAGGACTTGTTCGAGTGCGCGTCGGCCAAGTTCAAGGTGGAGGTGAACGCACAGCAGTTGCACATGACGGGCTGCGTGCTGCTGCACCGTGGATGCTGCCTCGTCGTCGTGGAGGGGGGGCCCAAGCAGCACGAGAAGTACAAGAGGTGGGGATAACTTACACCTCACATCTAACAACTTACATGTCTAACTACTTACATCTCACATCCAACAACATACATTTAACAACATAGTAAAAGTAATCATAAGGTTATTTATTTTCTTCGAATGTTAACTTTATCTGCATCCAGTACAGACTGTTGTAGAACAATGCTCTAACTTAATAATGGTAAAATAAGAATATATTTTGCCATGATATAAATAAATGAATTTTAAAATTAAAACTCGACGAGTAAATCACATATCAATAAATAAGACCTAATATCTTAGTGTTAGTAAACGTAAAACTATTTAATTTTATTATTGTTATTTTATTAAGCTGTTTTAAATTGTTTGATTTCCATTGTTTTTATTCATTATAGTTGTACCTAGCTCTATATTTAATATGTGAACTATTATTGGCATACTTGAGGTAAATTTGAAATTGTATTTAGTGGCATACGCTGTTGTTATCTTTATTAAAATAAAATAAATAAATAATCTACACAACAGTGCCAAACCCAAATACTAAAACTGGTTATGTAGTGAAGCATTGCCAGCGCCTGGTTGTCAGCTCCGCTGTCACCGTAAGTCTGCTTGTATGTTCTTGAAAACCCCTTGGTAGAACGATTCTTCAAAACAATGATGATTACGAAGATAAACGTGAACAATGAGAGAGATGATAGAAGAAAAGAACAGTTCATGACTTTATCTGCCAGTAGGCGGCGCCACTTACGTATGAAGTGAAATATTTGACAGATTACTTGGTGGGGAATTTAATTTATTACGAAAATGTAATAGTTAATATTTCTTTCTATAATATTAGTTATATTTTCCATTTCTTTAGGAAGAAAAACTAAAAAAGAAGTTAAAATATTAAGGAGCAAACCGCTGAGGCATTGGTTTATATATTTATATAGTGCATTGGGGTAGATCGGTGATGGGGTAAGAGCGTAAAATTCAAATTTCCGGTGAATTATGCTATAATTTTGAAAGCTAGCAATATGGTACAAGACGCCATTCTATTCTGCCCCGACCCCAAGTATCAGTCAGTCGTTCCGAAAAGTAGGGCGTATGCTGTGCAGTATTTTATAAAACAAGATCGAATTTTTCGTCCGTCCGGTCTTTCTCTATCACTTTTATTTGCGATTTTAGCGACGTCCGGTCTTACCCCTTGATGGCCAATTCTTCATCATGCATATAAAAAATTATGCCTTGTCTTCGCACACGTTTTAAGCAGAAACTGTTTTGAAAAGTAAAAGCTTCTTATAGCTAAATTACGTGTAACCATTAACGATTTGCGCCATGTTTCAGAAATCTGACGTAAATGGATGTCGAGAAAATAATGTTTTTGCCCGACTCTTTTAACTAGTCGAAAATCGTGCGGTATTACCCCAACGCACTATATATAATACTCTAGAAAGTGATTAAAATTAACATATTTAAAACGCAACTGCTCAATTACTTGGCGGAGAATTCAATTTATTACGAAAATGTAAGAGCCAATGTTTTTTTTCTATAATATTAGTTATATTTTCTATTCCTTTAAGTAGAAAAAAATTAAAAAAGGAGTTAAAATATGTAAAAAAAATTCAGGAACAAACCGCGGAGGCATAGTGTGCGAGCATGTAATGCAACGTACAATTGTTGTTTTTACAAGTCGCGGCACATGTATTTTAAAATCAGTTCGCCGATAGCCATCAAGAGCGCTACGCGTACTCATTATTAGTAGTTCTAGCCTTTTAATTTGTATACTTGTCCCAATATATTTTATCAAACTTATCAAGCGTAAAAATAGAAGGAGAGTTAATTGAGCAAGTGGATGAGTTCGTATATTTGGGATGTGTATTCAGCAGGGATGGGAGATATGATAAGGATATTGAACGACGAGTGAATGCAGGAAATAAAGTAAATGGGGCTCTACACTCTATTGTGAAAAGTCAGAATGTGTCAAAAAAGGCACGTATGGCAATTCACAATGCTGTGTTGGTCCCTACTTTAACGTATGGTAGTGAAAGTTGGGTGTGGCAGAAGAAGCACGAGAGTAGAATAAGTGCAGTAGAAATGCGGTCGTTCAGGAGTATGTTAGGGCTGAATCTGAACGACAGGGTGAGAAATTGTGTGATAAAAGAAGAGTGTGGTTTGCAAGATGATGCAGTGACCAGGATTAAGAAAGGAATGCTTCGGTGGTTTGGTCATGTAGCAAGAATGAATGCGGAAAGACTGACAAAGCAAATATATGTTGGAGAAGTGAATGGAAGAGTCGGAAAGGGACGTCCTGGGCGGAAGTTCGTCGACCAAATTGGCGATATACTAAAAATGGGCCAAATTAAGAGTACCCTTAACCGACGAGCATGTATGCGTAGGTATATGGACGTGGAGAAGGCGAGAAAGGTGTGTCTGGATCGTGATAAATGGAAGTCTGTAGTCTCTGCCTACCCCTCTGGGTGACAGGCGTGAGTGTTTATGTATATGTATAATTATCAAGCGTTATCAGTTTATCACCCCCTTAATTTCGGTACTACCCCGAACACATTGTTTTAAAAGTGATTAACATTTATATATTTAAACGCAGCTGCTCAATTAAATAATATTGTGAAACATTAAACTTCACCTCAGTTGCAACTAGCGACATCTAGTGAGCAGTAAATTATCAGCACTTATTGCATGTGTAAAGCCAGAGACAATAAGTGAATATTAAAAAACTGCTACAGATTATGTGTTCTTCTGTTGAAACTAACTGTGTTAAGATAACATGACGGCTCCGTGACGCGGAGGCTTAGCAATGAGCCGCAACGCTGGGCCCCGCGGGTTTGAATCCCGTACGAAACAAATATTTGTATGGCCTCCAAGTAATTGTTCTTGGTCTGGATGTTTACGCTAGTGCAATTTATGTATATGTCGACTAAGGTTAAAAAGACCAAAAAAATAATAAAACATTTGTTTAACCTCAGGTATTGATAGCCCCACGATATGTCAATAAAGATTTATAACCATTTACCTAATTCTATAAAATCCTAGAAAACCCTGCGCAATTTAATAAACAATTTAAAAAATACTTAGTTAATAAATGTTATTATACTTTAAATGATTTTTTGACGATAAATAACGGAAAAGTAAGAATACTTCGACTAGGTACATTGTATTTCAAATTTAATTAATTTACATAAAATATTACTGAATGTTGATGGAGGGACACACGGGCAGAGGAAGGCCGAATAAAAGATGGATCGATTGTGTGAAGAGTGATATGAGAACAGGAAATTAAAAATGATGATTACTGAATGTTGATAATATATTTTATAATTTATGTTTAAAAATTAGATAATATGAAAATAGTTAGCCCTCTAGTATTGCTATGCCCTTACAGGGCGTCACGTGTATACATATCAAAATGGTTATAATGTGACGTGCAATAAACAATTTGAATTTGATCAATGGCCACATTAAATGCTATTGTATGTCCAACACGAGTTCCAGTGCTTGTTTAGGAACAGTTTTTGGACTGTGAGAAAGTTACTCACGCGAAATTGATCTTCCAGGCTGATGCTGCACCGCATCAAGTGGGAGGAGGACATGGTGAAGGACACAGAGGGCGCGGAGGTCCCGAACAGTTGTCATCTTGTGTGGGAGGGGGTCGCCAAGCAGCGAGCCTTCGGGGGAGATTAAATTCAAGGTTTTTCAAAATATTAATAATAATAATGTTTTATTTGTATACACCATGATGTATAAAATATTTTACATAACATCGGCATCAGCATGTTTTGCTGACATAGCAAAAAGAATTTATACATTAATATTTTTGGTTACAAAAATACCTGATGCTATGGACATAACTACCATTCAACCACTGATGCAATTAATTCAAATTATCTGGTATTTCATATTTTTAAGTTATTAGGTATAGTATATAATAGAAATCTACGTTTATCCTATTATGATAAAAATCAAAACGCGGATGCGTTGTCACCCGTGAGGACTAAGATGGAATGCCTCGTTTTCAGTAAAATGGGTCTTCGGTTCTCTACACTCACCATAAGAAACGCAGCAGTATTGAGCTGCTATGCATCCTTAGCCGTGATAGCAGATGGTTAGCGCTCGCTGTAAACTTCACAGTACGCGAGCAACCCGGGTTCGGTCCCCGCCGGCACCAATGAAATTGTTAATTGCAATTTTATGTGCTGATTTACCACGTGCTCGGCGGTGAAGGAAAACATCGTGAGGAAACCTGCATGTCTGAGAAATAAAAATAAAAATATTTCGAAGACATGTGAAGTTCGCTAACACGCATTGGGGCAGCGCATCGGACACTTCCTTGCCCTAAAACCCTTTCAGAAATGAGAGGAGGCCTATGCCCAGCAGTGGGACGTATATAGGCTGTAACTTTACTTTATGCATCCTTCATCATCATCATCATCATCACAGCCCTTCACAAGTCCACTGCTGAACATAGGCCTCCCCCAAGTAATGCCACAAAGCACGGTCCTGAGCCACCTGCATCCATCGACTTCCTGCATATCTTACCAGGTCGTCACTCCATCTAGTGGGGGGTCGCCCTACACTACGCCTACCGGTACGAGGCTGCCACTCGAGAACCTTTCTTCCCCATCGGTTATCGGTTCTTCGAGCTATATGGCCGGCCCATTGCCACTTCAGCTTACTAATCCGTTGGGCTATGTCGGTCAATCTGGTTTTACTGCGGATATCCTCATTTCTGAGTCTATCACGCAGAGAAACTCCGAGCATAGCCCTCTCCATAGCTCGCTGAGCGACCTTGAGCGTCCTCATACGGCCAGCAGTGAAGGACCACGTCTCTGATCCGTAAGTCATCACTGGCAACACGCACTGGTTGTACACTTTAGTTTTCAGAGATTGAGGTATACCTGACGAGAAGATATGTCGTAATTTCCCGAACGCTGCCCAGCCGAGTTGAATCCGTCGATTGACCTCTCGGTCGAAGTTGGACTTATCTAGTCGGACTATTTGTCCCAGGTAAACGTACTCGTCAACAACTTCGAGCATAGTGCTCCCAACAACTACCGGCATAGGTGTGACATGGACATTAAACATAATCTTTGTTTTGTCCATGTTCATCTTAAGACCTATCCGTTGGGAGGCACTATTGAGGTCATTGAGCATAGTGCTTAAGTCCTCCAGCGATTCTGCCATAAGGACTATATCGTCGGCAAATCGAAGGTGAGTGATGTACTCGCCATTGATGTTAATACCGTATCCTTTCCAGTCCAGTAGCTTGAAAACGTCTTCCAAAGCAGCGGTGAAGAGTTTCGGGGATATAACGTCACCCTGTCTTACACCTCTCTGCAGTTGGATAGGTTTCGAGCTCTGGTTCTGTACTCGGATAGCCATCGTAGCCCTACTGTACAAACACTTCAGCACTTCAATATACCGACAGTCAACTTGGCACCGCTGAAGGGACTGCAGCACCGCCCAAATTTCGACGGAATCAAAGGCTTTCTCATAGTCCACATACGCCAGGCAAAGTGGCAAATTGTACTCTTCAGTCTTCTGTACAATCTGCCGCAGGGTATGTATGTGGTCTATGGTACTGAAGCCTTTTCGGAAACCGGCTTGTTCGGGAGGCTGGAAGTCGTCGAGTCTGCGTGCGAGACGATTCGTAATGACTCTCGAAAACAGCACGTAGACGCGGCTCAGAAGGGAAATCGGTCTGTAGTTCTTCAAGAGAGCGTTGTCGCCTTTCTTAAAGAACAAGACCACCGCACTTCTGCTCCACGCCTCTGGAGTAGTGCCACCATGGAGGACGGAATTGAAGAGCTTCTGAAGGACTTCAAGTACCGGTGTTCCACCCGCTTTCAGAAGCTCCGCTGTAATTCCATCCTCGCCTGGGGCCCTGCCGTTTTTAAGGTGCTGGAGAGCCATTCTAATCTCGCTTAGACTGACGTCCGGGATATCATCGGAATAGTGTCGGATAAGACTTGCTCTTGGATCGTTACTCACACTTGCGTGTGGCTCCAACGATGATGTGTACAGCTGCCCATAGAACCTCTCAATCTCACTCAAAATCTCAGGTGTCCCGGAAACGATGCTGCCACACTCAGTCTTCAGCCTTGACAGTTGGCTCTTTCTGGCAGATAGATCTCTGGCAAAGACTTTGGAGCCCTGGTTCCGCTCGATCGCTTCTTTAATACGAGCAGTATTAAAGTTGCGTAAGTCTCGCCGCATGCATTTGGAGATCTGTCTGTTCAGTTGCCTGTATGCTGTCAAATCTGTTGACGATTGCAGCCTCATCTCCCGTCTAACAGCCATGAGATTAAGAGTGTGATCGGAGAGTTTTTGTGTTCTTCTGCGGCGGGTCTTGCAGAACTTAGCTCCGACCGCATGGACAGTTTCCACGAGCTTGTCATTCATATCGTCCACTGCATTGCAATCTTGTAGGCACTGAAAGCGGTTGTGTAACTCGAGCTGAAAGTTTTCGGGATTTTGGATCAGAGCACGAGGGGGACGGAGCGTTGACTTCATTAGACGAGACCTCTCCAACTTAACGTTTAGGTTCAGTGTGCCTCTAACCATTCGGTGATCGCTGCCAGTTTTCACCCTCGCGATCACTGAGACATCACTGAACAGTTGGCGTCTGGTCGTCATAATGAAGTCAATCTCATTTTTTGTCGAACCGTCGGGGCTCGACCAGGTCCACTTCCTGTGGGGCCGCTTCTGGAAGAAAGAGTTCATCATAAAGAGTCCCTCTTTCTCCATAAAGTCGGCCAGCTGCTGGCCCCTTCGGTTCCGTTGCCCTACTCCAAATTTCCCTAACTTCAGCTCACCGCTTTCTCTTGTGCCTAGTTTTGCGTTGAAGTCTCCCATCAACACCGTGTAGTGGGTTTTGGAGGAATGTATGGCTTTGGAAATATCCTCATACATTTCCTCCACCTCCTCATCGGAATGTGCCGACGTTGGTGCGTAAACCTGTATGACCTTCAGCGAATACCGTTTGGTGATTCTGAGTATCAGGTACGCGACCCTCGTCGACACACTCTCAATCTGTACAACGTTGTTGACGAGAGACTTGTGGACGATAAATCCGACACCTCCTTGGGACAGATGGTCGCCCTCCCGGTGATAGAACAAGTTGCCGGATTCGAGAATCACCGTGTCCTCCCCCTCTCTTCGGACCTCGGATAATCCTATAATACTCCAGCGCAACTTGTCTATCTCTTCTTCCAGCTCCAGGATCTTCTCGTCAGTCCTCAGTGTGCGTGCGTTAAATGTTGCCAGGTCGAGTCGTCGTAGGTGGCAACCGAACCTCCACCGGAGATTCTTAGCACCCCCTGCCCCGCCGTTACCATGGTCGCCACCGTAGCCAGGAATAGCGGGGCCGCCGGGGACTGGGGGCCGTCTATTTGTGTAATTGTTCATGGGGGGTATATTGCCATAGTTGCCACGCTTGGCGAGCGGGTTGGCAACCGCAGTTTTTTATTATAACACAGTTGTTATCAGGAAGATGCTGCTGCCCATCTCCTGCCTGTCTCCCTCTGTCGCCTCTTACGACACCCACGGGAAGATATGGGGTAGTGGATATTCTTAACCGCCACTACACGGCAATGCATCCTTAGGGTGGGTGAAATTTATTCTCCAAATTAATATTTATGAGAACACCACTGCAGTATAATCCATTTGATAAGTCGGGGAAAGAGTTTCTTCGTATTTTGTTTGCATAAAATTGAAGCAAAATCTCTTTACATATACTGTCTGTATCTGGCTGATTTTAATATCAGTATATACTGGATGACCTTTTGTACCGTCTGGAAAAAATAGAGTATAACGGGTAGACTGAATAGAAGTCTATGACGCTGATATTTTACAAAAAATAAAAAAGCATTTTAAATTAAATAAATAAATCAATTAAAAAAACCCAAATCAATACCCACCCTAGTTTTCCAAGTGGCAATAGAACAACAAATTGTTTGCCAATATCCTTTCGCAGGGTCACAGGGTCAAGCGCAAAGCCGTTACTTTCAACTCTCATTTCATTCACCTGTAGTTAGCATAACGTAACGTCGCGTTGCCGTGTTTATGTTTCCGCGTATGTGAAAACTTAGACGGTGCGACGAATTGATATTTACCCGTGTTACAGTTTATGGATTGAAGGTCGATTGACGGGAGTAAATCTACGTTTCGTCATCGACACAATGTTGCAAAACGTTACTTTGAGCCATCTACAAGGAATGTACTTTCAGCATGATGGAACGATCTATGCGCGCATATCTGGACAGCCAATTCGGTGATGATGGATAGGTCGCGGTTGACTTATGAATTGGCCGACGAGATCACCAGACCGAACACCTCTAGATTTATTTCGGGGCCGAACTAAAGCAATTAGTGTACGCAGAAGAAACATAAAATGTTAGTGATTTAAAGCAGCGTATAACAGACGCATTTATATGTGATAAAAACTGATAGAGACACGCTTCGAAGTTTAACAAACAATTTACAAAGACGTGCTAGTTTGTGTTTAGAAGGAAACTGTAGACATTTTGAAAAATTACTGTAATATCGCTAAAAAGGTAATTTTTATTTGTAAATAACATCAATGTTGTATAATTGTAAATATCAATCAGTGTTATTAATGAAATTACATGAATATTACACACCATTATTAAGAGGATACCTTGAAAATGAATCGAAGTTTTGGG